TTTTGAATCATATCTCAATGTTTTCAAATGGAACGAGGGTGGCTCATTAGCATATGTGGAAAAAACATTTTTTTACGAATATTTTTTGCACACACTTGGTATTTCGAGTCAAATTGTCGTTATGAATCGCATGTTACAATTTCAAATAAACCATTTGCGAAAATTCAGTGTCATTTTCTACCGAATAAAGTAAAAAATACCGAGGGTGTAATTTGAAAATCAAAAGTTGTAGTCATTTCCGGTGAAACAGGAAGTGACCGAAAACGATTGTCATCAATCAATCCTGATTTATGTCATATACTAACGTAACCAAATCTCGTTATTTTATCTAAAAAATAAAAAAGTTGTAAGGGTGGACCACTTAGACGCACCCGGTATACTACTCCTAAAAATATTAGCCCTTATTTAAGACATCCTGTATAGTATAAAATTTGTTAACAAAATATCTTTGAAGGTGTTAGTGTCTATTTTTTTTATCCGAAAAAATAAAAAAGTTATAGGGGTGAGCCATTTTTGAGAAACACCCGGTATAGTGGTACGATACCCTTTGCAATGCTTTTGAAAAATTGATACTTCTGTTGAAATAAGAGCAATAAATATCTGAGAAAAATATAAATATAAAAGGTGGAAGAGATTAAACTGAACATTCGCAATAACTACAGCCACGCAGTCCAAAAGTATGGTAATTTTTTTACATTGGTGCAAAGCAATCCGATTCTGACCACTCTCCCCTATATTTTAAAATTTGTTCAAGTGGTCTAAAACGCATCAATGTATAATATAAGTTTTCAATTATTAATATAGGTCACTCTAAGTGTAAACTGAAAAAAAAACTTGAAATAACTTGATAACGTAATTCTAGCACAACAGAGAAAAATTGAACCGATTTTTATTTTTAGCCTGCGGGATATTCCCAAATTATATGATATACGCGCGTATGTCTTCATAACAAGCGAAAAAAATGTTAAGTAGCGCATCTCCCCAAGCGAATCTTATTTTTAAATTTCGTAAAACCTAAAATAGATCGACCTTTAACGTCAGGAAAACATAGGAAATCGCGATGCATTAAATATACCATTTCGATTGAACTAGAGAGGTATAGTCTGTCAAAATATATCGATTTCCATATCAAGTTATAAATGAATCAAAATAAAAGTGTCGCAAAACCAATCTCTCTCACTACTAGAACTGCTCTCACCCTTTTTTCAATAACAAAAGACTGTCCTGTGCCGAAAACATTGCGACCTGTGAGGTCTATTGAGTTTGTCCCCTTTCTATGTCTGCAACCACTCTCCTATCCCTGTATCCTGCATCAACTTGTAAGAGGGGAGCATAGTTCCTCCGATTCTAGTCTTGCTTTCCTAAATATGAAGTGTCGCTTGCGATCCAGGGCCTCGCTGTAACATATTGTGTGCTCCGCTGCAGTAAAGACTTCCTTGACACAGGTTGAGCTTGTTCAGGTAGCACTTGACGGCCATATGTCCTGTCAAGAAACCTGATATAGTTGGCACCTTATTCCTGCTAAGCTACTCTCAACATTAGTTTAGTCATATATTATCTTCTAAAATTACCATTATTCAAATTTATCCAGAATATACGATTAGGCACACATCTGACAACTTCTAAAAAATGACAGATAAAAACTATCATTGCATAAATTTTTTCGATGGATTTTAAATAGGCGGGCTTCTACCTTAAAATTGACATTAATGTCTGTCCAACGAGACAGCGAAGATTTTGCAAAATATGATGATACGATTTTGATAAATACAACTTACCTGTTTAAAACTAGACTAGTGTGGGACTGTGTGCGTGCTCTGAATACTTTGGGCGAACGTAGCACTGTTATGTTGGCCTGGGTGCCAGGGCACGAGGGTCACAAGGGTAACGAAAAAGTAGATGAAAGGGCCAAGCAAGGCTCATCAATGCCCAGAACCCTTCTGCGGCGTTGGAAAGACGGTCACGAGAATGGCCACAGAACGATGGGTGGCCAACAAATCTCTAGAATGGTGGAGAAAATTACCAGGGCAGAGACAGGCGAAAAGGTTCATTGTAGAACATTCGCCAAAATTCACGGTAGATTTGATAAGCAAGGACAGAAAGACAGTCAAAGCTGTAGTAGGTCCACTAACAGGGCATTGTAAGCTAAATAGGCATCTAAAGCTGATGGGACTGACAGACGAAGCTATGTGTAGGTTCTGCCAATCTGAAAAAGAAACGTCAGAACACATTTTGTGTCGGTGTGACAGCCTGGCAAATGTGCGGTTCCCGGTAATAGGCAATGATAGGTCATTGCCAGGGAGCTACATGGAGGGTTCAGTCTCCAAGTTGCTAAACTTTGTGAAAAGGATAGAACTGGAGAATGTAATCTAAGGATCAGAAGAGGACCACAATAGATCTGAGAAGGTCGCAGTGGATCAGGCCGAAAGCCACCCCTAAGAATCTAATCTAATCTACCTGTTTAAAATGATGACTGTCACTGTCCTCTGTCCTGTATTATCTCTACGGACAAACTTTAGTTAAGACTACTATACTATTTGTTACTGAATTTTCTTCATTTCTTCAATTTTTATTAAATCTAGAAGATGGTTATATTTCCAAAATACATTAATATATCGATTTTTTTCAATATACGTCATCTCTAGATTGAACTTTCTCTTGGGTAATTTGTCAGATGAAGCGCCAAAACCGTTTGTTTTTTTTTCAAAATGTCTTCATTCATTCAAGACAGCTATTTGTTTTGTGGAAGTTCAATATAAACGTATAGTAATAATAAACACAAAAAAATGTTTATTATTACTATTTCGTACAGCTTACTATAAACAAATATCTTCTTTCATCCTTTATTTTCCGAATTTGTAATTTAAAACACAGTCTTGTATCTCTATCCATTTTAAACACAGTGATTTCTGAGATACCTACAACACAGAAGTTCACTTCACTGGAATTTTGAACATTGACATTGTGAGTTCTCCGATATCAGTCGTACCTGTGGTCGTACCAAAGTTTATGGCACGAAATGGGCACGAATGGTTGTCGTCTCGGCGCACTCAGTGATAAGATGTTCTGGTGTTTCCCAATTTTTCCCACAGAATCTGCATTGGCGTTGTTTCTTAGCTTTAACCACAGAATATCTAGCTACGTTGCGTAGCTAGATATTCTGTGCTTTAACCTACTGAGGCCTTCATCGAGGAGATAGTGTCCTGTTAAAAACTCCGTGACAATCCGAAGATTGTTCTTACTTAAATCGAGGAAAATATTTGATTTTTTTCGGTCGTAAGTTCTGAGAAATTTCTTCAAGTGTATTAGACCGTTGGAGGATTCCCATTCCAGGTTACGGAGGGAGTCTTAGTCTTCCAGGTTCTTGAATTTTGCTTTAAGTTGGTTTCCACATGGGAAGCAGAAAGGTTCTGGTCCAGTTAGTGGAGTGTTCGCTTCTTTTTTAGCTAGCTCGTTTGATTTTTCTATCTCTTGGTGGGCAGGCACCCAGAGTAGGAGGGCTTTGTTTTCTTTGCCTGATTTGTTCAGTTTCTCTAGGCATTCTTTGATCAACTTCGAATTGATGGTTACTCTTAAGGCTGCTTGACTATCGGATAAGATGGCTATTTTTTTGTTTCCAATAGTTCCTGTGGTGGCTCCAATGGTTCCTGCTGTTGTTCTGGAAGTATCGCTATACCGCGTTATGGTATGGTATTTTACTGTGACGGTATAAAAAAAATATAACACTAAATCACCACAATACACCAAAACACTTTTACTTTTACACTGGACGCGCGTTTCGCTAACCATGTTAGCATCATCAGCAGATGATTATAAACTAAAGTACAATCTACAAGTTGAGCGTTTATATTAATTATATTTAAGCTTTTAAATAATTGAAACAAAACATTAAATATTACAAATTAAAATATATTATATACACTTTTTTAGTTTCCAGGTCCCGGCCAAGACAAAACTTTCGCCGGGACAAACTTTCTGATTCCTGGTTAATCCCGGCCAAACGGGGACGGTTGGGAACCCTATGATAAAAACACTAAATCACCACAATACACCAAAAGACTTTTATTTTACACTGGACGCGCGTTTCGCTAACCATGTTAGCATCATCAGCAGATGATTATAAACTAAAGTACAATCTACAAGTTGAGCGTTTATATACTCGCTCAGTGGGCACCGAGTGGGCGTGGCAAAATCTAGCCAACCGAGTCAGAGCCAACTGAGCGTAACAGTTAGATTTCCGCCACTAGAGTAGTAGGAACAAAGAACTTGAAGGAATTGGACCGTTGACTCTGTTCATACTATCTTTACATTTATTAATTATGATGCTTTCATATGCATCTAATTGCCTGTAATTTGAGACTTGTTTAATTAATTTTAAATTATTAAGATCTATACAATGTTCATTATCAACAATATGTTCGGCAACGCAAGATTTATCCGGTCTACCATATCTTATCTGAGCTAAATGTTCTTTAAATCTAGTTAATATTGATCTCCTAGTTTGCCCAACATATTTCTGATTACAATCTTTACAAGAAATTTCATAAATACCGACCTTTCCAGTGGAGATGTTTTATCCTTTGGATTACCTAATAATTGTTGTAATTTATTATTAGCACTATACACAAGTTTATAATTGACATTCTTAAAAATTCCTTTTAGACCACGGGATAACTCTCTATCAAACGGTATCGAAAAATATTTAGACGTATCTTTCTCCACTTGAAAAGTCGAATTTTCAGAAATCATTAACCTATACCTACGTTTTCTAATTAGAAATGCGCGTCCAGTGTAAAAGTAAAAGTGTTTTGGTGTATTGTGGTGATTTAGTGTTTTTATTTTACGAAATAGGTACTGTTGACTCAGTGGCTCAACACACTCCCACTCAGCTACGGTCACCACGGTATTCACACACTATATAGGATCATACATACTTGTCTAGAATTTAGAACTTTTTCAAAAATGCTTGGACTAAATACAATTTTTTTTGTTCTTTTTAGATCGATGAATTATATACAGAAATACTGTACATAATCATTCACAACGTAGGCTGCAACGTGGAGGTCAGCCAGAATGCCTTATTCAGTTATGCCCAAGATGCCTTTAGGATCCCCAACGACAAGCACAGGAAGCTGATGGAAGAAGCAGAAAGCAAAGCCGATCCAGAACTGATGATCAACGTCGAGGTCATCGAAGCCAAAGAACTAAGGTCGAAGGACTCAAATGGCTTGAGCGATCCATTCGTTACTCTGTATCTAGCATCGAATTCTTCACATAGATACAATACTTCGGTTAAGAGTATGACGCTGAATCCTATATGGGAGGAACATTTTGCTTTGTAAGTGCTTTTTTTGTGTTTGTGTTTAAAGGTATTGGAGGTGAGAATCCATAAAAATAAGTCTCTCAGGGGCTCTTTATTTGAATAAAGAACTTTGATCAGATATGCAAAACGCCGATACAATAATTGTACAAAAACTCATCTATTTAGTAAAAAACAATTTACATTATAATCACATCACACACGTTTACATTTTACATATTAAAAAACAGGTATTGGCTAGTGTTTTTTAGTGTTTTAAACTCATGGTTGATTTATAGGGTGCCCCAATATACTACTACGTATTTTTTAAATCAAAATAAGTTCAATGGATCGTTGGACACAATTTACCTCTATACTAAAGTGCGTCGTTTGTCCGTTATAGGGCTCAAACTTAAGCTTCACAAAATAAACACATCTTTTAAGATATTTTAAGAACCGTTATTCAGATTTCAATAAAATTGGGGGTTATGTTTTGCTAAGCGCTTTAACAACGACTTTAATAAAAAAAGTACGAGAACAGTAAAAATTACCCCCACCCCTACATAAATTTTAGTAGAAATATTTTCCAACTCTACCGACAATTGATTTTTTTTCGTCATATAGTCCTCCTAGTATTTACAACTCTACAAAAAAAATTGTCTCGTGTAAAAAAACGACACACCGCATAGTTTCTGAGAAAAAAAATTGGAGATTTTTTTCAAAGGAGACCTACAAATTATACAGGGAGTTTCAATTTGTGTATCGTGTGTTAGAGTAGATCCACTGAGAAATTTATATCCATGAATTCTAAAGCCAGTGACTTTTTACATAACTTAAAAGATTCCTCTTGTATCAAGTTTTTTTATCTGTTTTAGACCTATAACAGATAAATCTATTGACGACAGCCTGTGTCTGGAAGTGTGGGATTTCGATCCCGCCGAAACCGTTAAAGAAAAATTAGGCAAAATATTTGACGTTAAAGGTGTTAAAGGTATGAGAAAACTAGTCAAAGAAATCGCAGTCACGGCAACCACAGGCCAACATGTCAACGAACTGATAGGCAGAGCTAATATACCCTTAAATGTAAGATCCACGATATTTTCTTTATTGAGCTTTTTTCCGATTTTACAAATTTTCTAGACCATCCCTGCTTCAGGAATGACTATGTGGTACAGCCTGGACAAGAAAAACAAAGTGACTCGGCAGGGAATTGTGAAAGTGCGAGTGTCATTTAGTTCGGGAAAGAATAATCAGGTGGCGCAACAAGAACACAGGCATATGAGACGGATTATATTGTTACACGAATTAGAATTATCCAAGGTTTGTAAAAAGCTTCATTCAGAACTTTGAAATTAGTGGAGTAAATTAGTGGTTTCAATTACACTTTATACTTTTTAGTTTACGATCATTCACAATGTTTAAAAAACACAATTAAAATTAATAGAATATCCTAGCAACAGCTTGCGTTAGTCAGTTTTTTCCATGGAGAAAGCCTAATCTGAATACTTACATTGAAATCAGCCTAAGCCCTTCTGAATACCTATACTAACATACTTATAATTCTAGGTGGCGCCTCATTGGTGGTGCGGGAACTTCACTTACCAAGGCCAGCAACTCCTCGATCAGCACATAGCCCAATCGGGCTTAACTCAAACCGAAGTTGAACTCTGCGCGTACTCGGTCTACGCAGGAGTTCATCAAAATCACCCCCTCAGCTTCACCCTATTTTCCAAATCATTGGAAAAACTGGTGAAGCCTCTCCAAACAGAAACTATCTGTGAGGAGGAAGTGAAACTCTTCTGGGAAGCGACGAAAAAATTGCTCCCTTCTTGTTTCAGTATTATTAGGAAGATTAGAAAGAAAGGCACTACGGAAAAAGCCGTTATGAAGCAAGTGATAGAAGTTTTAAAAATTCTGAATTATATCGGTATTCTTGAGCCGAGGAATATAGAATTATTTCCGTCCAATCTGTATCCATGGGTGACGTTCCATGGCGACGGACCAAACTGTGATATTTTGGGCACTCTGAGTGACGCGGTGTCGCAAGGGGCCAACGACTGGCTGAATCACCTCATCGAAAATAATAGGAAACCAGATGAAAGTGAGCTGGCCAGGTTGCAGAACCTGATTCAGTTGATACAGCTTGTCAGGAGTGATTTGCAGAAAGCCATAGAGTTCTACGACAAACTGTTTATAGAGTAAGTATATTTAGTTTTTTTTTAGCTTTAGAAGAATTTAATATTCTAAGTTAAACTTAACAGACCTTATAAGTTATAACTTACATACATTTTGTTGAAACTGAATACAAGAGTCCCTTTGTGCACGCGGAGGTTACGTGCCTTGAAAACACCATGTAAATAGAAACTTTTATTACATAAACTATGTAGTAAATACATAATGCATACAGATTTGGTCACCGTAAAAGCATGATCTGCATTTTAATGTGTCTGCTTGTTTAATTTTCAACAAATGTAAACGCGTATAACAGAAACCGTCTACACGAGGGATTCCTGTAATTGTAAAAAGATTTTTTATTACGAATCTTCTAATATAACAAAAAAACTATTTTTTATAGTCTCGTCAAATTCCAATACGCCAAGTGCCTCTATATCTTCTACCAAGCCAAAATTGCCACCTTATGCGAGCCGGAAGTGAGGGAAATATGTAAAAGTTTGAAGAAGCTCCATTACATAGGATACAGTTACACCAGTGCACCCACCAATTCAGATCCTGAAGAGGATCCCCTTTCAGAAGGAACTTCACTATTTGAAGTGTATTTAGCTGTTCAAAGATTTGTAACTTTGGGTCAAGGACTATGTCCGGCTGATTATGATACTTTTCATATTAAAAATTTCCACCAGGTAGGAATATTTGTTTTTGAAAATAGGACAGGACTAATAGATTTCTTTTATTGGGATGAATTCAGATTAAAAATACTAAAAGATATAGTCTGTCCAATGAATCAGGGAAGATTTCGACAGACGACATCAAAAAAATTACAAGTACAATTTGCGTCTGAATTAAACTGACAGACACAACTGTCACGTTCAGGTATCCTCCCATTGGACAGACTATACAGAGAGAACGTCATTGCAATAGTATGGAGGTTTTGTCCGTGTAATACTAACGTCTGGCAAAGGTTAGTCTTGGGTCGAGATTTCCGTATGTAAGAAGAGTACAATGCGTTTATAATGTACTTAACAAAGAGAGAACAGTAAACACGTTGCCAAACGTATGAAATGAATCGAGAAACCGTGCACATTGCTAAGAGACGTGGAAGGGGATATAGCAGATTTGTCGCAGTTAGAAGTGTCTAGCCCTACCAGTCAACTATTAAGCTTGACCAATCAGGTTGGTTAGCGTGGTTATTTGAAGGGTGTTAATTCATTTGTGTTTGTCAAAAACTCTAATGTGATTGGTCGGGCTTAATAGTTGCCTGCTAGGGCTAGTCACAAGTGTCGCAGTTGACCGGTCGACCCAATCAGTGCCTCTGTCAGTCCTTAAAATTCTAGGGAAAGGTGTACATCATGCGTTCATTTTCACGATTTAATTACGTCTCGCGATACTTTATTTGTTTATTTATTAACGAGTCGTTGTAATTTTCTATATAGCTTGAAAATTTTTAAGTGCAAGTTAGAAGCATTTTTAGTAAAAATAAGTGGAATTGAGTTGGTGTTCGACAGTGGTCGCGCTATTAGAACTCCGAATTTAAAATGAATCGATATCTCAAAATCTACTAAAAATAATAGATTGTAGTTTCTTCAAAAACTTTCTTAACATTTCTGCTATATTTTCTTCGCAGACAGTATGTGAAAATCTTTATAAATAAAAAAGTTACACGATTGCTAAAAACTGCTATGCACTAAAAGTAAATGGATTTGGTTGTTTAAAATTTTTGAATGGAAAAAACAACCTTATCGATTTTTTCTTATTTAAACATATTGTAAAAGATCCGATCTTCTAAATAAAAAAAAGTTTCAATATCTAAAGTGGTTCTTAGGTTACGGCGTGTTATGTGTTAAAAAGTTGAGTTTTCAAATTATCGCGATTACTGACGTTTTATCGTTATAAAAAAAGAGGAAGAAACATATCTAATGATTTTATCTAGTTATCTTTTCGAAAAAAAGTCATTTAAAAATAAGCGGTTTGCGATCGTGATTTTACTTTACCTGATAGGGAAAGGCGTACCGGCAACGCCGCAACAGCACACCGTCGCATTTCTCTCACTTCGACTTAATAAGATCCCTATGCGATTTACTTCCGCACATGTAAGTACCGACCCAAAAGGAGCAGTTGCCAGCACGGTATACACAACTTCAAACCGTCACATAACTGAATAGCAACCATAGGCGTAGTCAACTATGTAATTATTAAATGTATAATATATTTTTAATGTACGAAGAATTTTTTTTCAGTGGTTCCATGGAGGTGTAGCCCAGTGGCTCGACATAGCCGTATATAAAGCTTTAATTCGGATAGAAAAAGCTGTAGAACTAGACCAGTTAGTTCACGTTGATACTAATCTTAAATACAGTTCATCAGCTGTAGATGCTTTAACAATATTTTATCAGGTATTAAATTAAAATTTTTAACTATTTTTTAAAACATATTATACATATATGGTTTTATTTTTTTTAGGTTAAAACATTTTGGCAACAGCTAAATTGGCCTGATGTTGAAGGGTGCTATACATTCATTGCAAAAATTATTGATGTAATATTACAAAGTTATACAATTGAACAAAAATTAACGTTTTGATTTTATTTAGGATATATGCAGATGTTGCGTATTTTATGCGGACAAAATGGCTGCAAGAGTTGATGGAATGGGAGACAGCCAAGACGTATATGAAAAGAAATTCGAGGTCACAAACGAATGGTGTCTAGCCATAAACAATATCGACTATGTTAGGGAAACGTTGGAACCTTTCACGAGAGATTTAGGAATGGAAGATGTTTTAAAGAAACTAGCTGATATTAAAAGCCCTGTTGAAGCTGACAGGTGTAGGAATACTCTGAACAACGTCATCTCCAATGCCATTGATACTGTTAGGAATAAAATTATCGAGCTTTTAGAGATAGTAGCTAATAAGGTTTGTATATATTACTAGAGTGTACCCGCGACTTCGTTCGCGTCGAATTAATCATTTGTAATGGTGATGACAAAGCAAAGCAAGAATTTCCATTAACATACAAACTGGATAAAATTTTCTCACATTTATGTCAGCATGAGAAAAAAACAATATGGCGATATTATTTTATAACTTGGTAATATTTGAGGGATAGTTTCATCTCGTTGGAATTTGACTTGAAAAATCAGTTTGCCAAAAATAAGCTTTTTACGTCAAGCAGTTTAAGCAGAATCGTGATTAATCAATTACCCAACTTTTTGGAACACCCTGTATGATTTTTTTAAAAATTTCATAATATATAAAAAAAAGCAAAATAAATTATGCGGGCCCAAGCGTTTTCCCGAAAGACTAACCGTTTTTTAAATAACAAATATTGTAATATTTGAAGGGCGTTTTCACCCTCTTGGAATTTGAGATTCGAGAAACCCCTCCTTATCGAACCTCTACACCCCACAGTCAATCCGTTTGCCAAAAAAAATTTTTTCAAGCTTTAAACGTCGAGCAGTTTAAGCAGAATCGTGATTACTCAATGGTCATATTTTATGAAACACCCTGTATAAATTTTTAAAAAATCTTAAAATATGTAAAACATAATAAAATATACGTGTTTAAGAGTTTTTCCGAAAAACTCACCGGTTTTTAAATAAAAAATATTATAATATTTGAGGGGTGGTTTCACCCCCTTGGAACTGAAATTTCGAAAAATCCCTTCTTATCGAACCTCTACACCCTAGAATCAACCTGTATGCCAAAATTGAGCTTCTTACGTTGAGTGGTTTGAGCAGGATCGTGATTAATCAGTGAGTCAGTCACTTAAGGATTTTATATATTATAGTATAGATAGGGGGCATTCAATTCTCAATAATTAAAATCACGACTTAAGCGGCCCATACATTATCAAACAAATTGCGCAACAAAGCGATGCGCAACGTTGCGTTGCACAACTGATTCAGCGGTCCACACATTATCAAACAAGTTAGTGCACTTAGTAAAATGTTGATCAAACTTTTTATTAAAAGTTGTGCATTGATTGAGAAACAATCATGTCCCCAATTGTCATTGCATCAATTATTATCGTATATACCCTAGATGATGTCAATGATACCAAAAAACGAAAAAGAATTTGGATGAAAGAACTAAAATATTGCGCAACGAAGCGCAACACACACATACACTACACAACGCGCTGCGCAAACGCCTGTTGCACAAAGAATTCAAACATTCTTAAAACGTATCAAACAATTGCGCAACACATCAAACGTTACCATACATTGGCAACTCGCTGCGCAACAGCCTGTGTCGCGTAATTTGTTTGATAATGTATGTCAGCATGAGAATTGTTTAGTCTTTTCTATCCCGCTTATTAAACTAGAACTATATTACAGATGGGCCCGTCAATGAAAAGGTTATTGATAGAGGGCGCTGAACTAGGTAGCCAAGGTTGTAATACTATTGACAGACTGATGATGTATGTCGATACCAACCTGTCAACGTTGCATAGGGAACTAAACGACGAGAACTTCAACAGGATCTTGGAAATAGTTTGGGATTTGTTGAGTGAAATTTTAAATGAAATTATTCAAACTAATTTGGAGGTAATTTTGAAGTTTTTTTTGAAAATAAAATATATTTTTTAATATTTTGTCGTAGAAACGAAGACCGCCTCCATTTTTTGCAAAATTACGCGAAACCCTGAATCTTATGCTGGGTTCATTTAAGAATCCTGACGACTGCAGTAACTGTGATGCTTTAAGACGAACGGAACAAATTTTGAAAATAAACGGACTGGAAACGGCAGATCTCATACATCAGGTAATGTAATCAAATACAACAAAGTGTTGGACTTAGTAACTCAATCAAAGACATCCAACTAAAGAGGAGACACAATATTCCATTTGTTTACAATCCTACTTACTTTAACCACAGTTTAAAAAATATATACCAGTTGGCTTACTCTAAGGAACTCTATTGTTATTTTGATTTCAAATGCGGCCCGTGACCCTTCGAGGTGACAAAAAATTTGTACGTTTACCGGGTGCAACGGAAGTGCTATTTTATCAGCCAGAACGCTGGCCGTATACGAAGGATCAACTAAAAATACTAGGAAATTTTAATATAGCAAGTAGAAAAATAAAAACACTACTAGTTTTATTGATTAACAATTTTAGGCGTCTTTAATAATTGATCAATATTTATTTACTTTCTTCTTATTATTATTTAATAACATATCTCATTGTTTACAAATATAAATACAATATGAATTGAAATACTTTAACAACCATCCACTGCACCCATTTTATTCACAATTTGAACAAAACAACTAAAACAATATTTTTGGTTCACCCTATGCGTCGGGCCGAAAACAAAACTAAAATAAACTTGGAGGGCTGTGTACACGTCGAGTAACGGATGTAGACTGGCCCAAGGCTACAAGACAGGCGGGGAGCGGCGGGATGGATTTTGATACGGGCGAAGAGTGAGCCAACTGGTTTATATTCTTTAAACTGTGCTTTAACACTTTTATATAAGTTAAAAAGAGATGAGTGCATAAATATGACAACGCTGTTAAGTTCCGTGCTCTGTCTTTTCGGTCTACAAGTGACGTGCTTTTTTATCAACAATCGTAAAAAGTAATTTTAATTTAAATTTTGATGAACCATAAAATCAGTCTTCTTGAAGCGGCGTTGTCACAGTTACTTCCCTAATAAATTTTCATTTAATTTAATCAGAAAATTAAAAATTATTTCAAAGGAATATTCTGGCGTATTAACTAAAATGATATACCTACACATATATTTAGTACGCCGTTTCTATAAGTACCAAAAAAACACAACACAAGCATTAATAACAATAGCATAATTAATTTTCAAACGCAAGCCGTAGATCTAACGCAATCCGCAGAAATTTGTCATCATCGCTTTTTGATGAAAACGATGCTTGATCGGTATAAAATGTAAATAGATTAGTCTCCTCTAAGTTAGATGTCTTTGAATTTTGAAGTGCTTTAGTAGCTAGACCTTATAATTATACATATTATAATTATATCCCTATTTTTAATATAGTTTTTATTTTTCAGGCATATATAGAAATGGCTAATATTTTTGACAAATCCAAAGAGACCCCATATGGAGAAATCTCTTTCAGGTGTAGGTTTCAAGGAGACTCTCTGCAAATTGAAGTTATAAACGCGAGAAATTTATTTGCCATGGACTCGAACGGTAAACAGTTCTAAAAATAGCTCGAATAAAATAATCAAACATAATTTTCAGGTGCTAGTGATTCATTTGTTAGAATACATCTATTTCCAGAGCACAAATTTATAGGAGTTGATAAACCAAAAACAAAAACCCACAATAAGACTTTGTTTCCTTTGTACGACGAAACTTTTACTATGTATACTTATAAACCGATCAAAAATAATTCGTAATATCTAAAATTTTTTACTTTTTTAGAGATCTTAATCCTGAACAAGCCAGTATAGAAGACGGACTAATACTGTTTAGTGTAAAAGACAAAGACATGCTAGGTTACAACAATCAGTATATAGGAGAAGCGTTTTTGAAATTCAAAGATATTCCGAGGACGGAGTCTTCTTTAAGTAGTTTGCCGCAAGTTAAAAAGTGGTTGTGCAGGCCAACGACAACGGGTAAGCATTGAAAAAAGTCTGATTTGACTGGACTATTAAGGAAAAAATCGATATTAGTAGGGATGGGCAACTTTGAAATCGTTTAAACTCAAAACAGACCTTTAAAGATATTGTGTCAACAAATTTTATGCTATACAGGATGATCTTAAATCAGGGCAAATATTTTTAGTGCTAGTAACCGGGTGCGTCTCAAAAGTGGCTCACCCCTATAATTTTTTTAATTTTTTTTAATAAAAAAACGAGTTTTGGGACGTTAGTATATGGCATAAATTAGGATTAATTGACGTATTCAATTGTTTTTGGTCACTTCCCGTTTCACCAAAAATGACTACAAGTTTTAATTTTTAAATGGCACCCTCGGTATTATTTTACTTTATTCGATAGAAAATGACACTCTGAATAGAATGACATATCATATGTCAACTTTTGATACTTTCGCATATGGTTTAATTGAAATTGTAACCTGCGGTTCATAACAACAACTTGACTCGAAATAGCAAGTGTGTGGTCCCAAATTATTCGTAAAAAATATTTTTCCAAATATGCTAATGGGCGACCCTCGTTCCATTTGAAAAAATTGAGATATGATTAAAAATATGATTTGGGCATCTTTTAACCGGGCATCTTTTAAATCTTTTTAATCCAAGGCTCCTTGATTAAAAATTAGTGTTTATAACACAGCCATGGCAGTCTAAATTAAAATTTAAAATACGACTTTGTTTTAAGAGAAAACGTCAAAAGTTGACACATCATATATCTTTCTACTCAGAGTGTCATTTTCTATCAAATAATATAAAAATATACCGAGGGTGCCATTTAAAAATCAAACGTTGTAGTCATTTCCCGTGAAACAGAAAGTGACCAAAAACAATTGAATACGTCATCAGTCCTAATTTATGTCATATACTAACATACCAAATCTCGTTTTTTTATCTTAAAAAAAATAAAAAAGTTATGGACACTTTCGAGGCGCACCCGGTATTTCGACACCAGAAACGCGATTATGAGTTTTTCTTTTCACGAAAATAAAATTTGAAATTTTTAAAAAAAAATATATTTGGAAATTGTTTAGCTTTTAGTTAAAAAACATAGTTTCTTGATAATATGGCAACATAGGTAGAAGATTAAATTTGCAAGAAAGAAATCCTTGAAAAGATCCAGTGGTTCTCCAAATTCAAATACGTTTAAATAAAATATACGACGGCCTCCCCATAAGAGCAATGAGAGGATTTATGTCCCAGTATTAAAGGACAGAAAATCGAGTCGAATGGTTTCAAGACATAAGTTCATCCTTGTTTAGTCAAACCTCCTACAACACAAGGACAGACTTATGTAGAAAATGCATTGAAATTCTATAGCCATCCTTCAACATCGGGACAGGAATTTAAGCGGTACCCTCCGTATATTTTATTTTAAACGTATTTGTCCAAATTTAAACAAAAAACATTTTTTTTTGATAATTATCAAGGTAAAATATCTCGGTTATGTTTACAAAACGGTGAAGAGAAAATATGTTTCTTTTATCGACATCTATTACCCCTGAAAATATTTGCACTTATTTAAGACACCCTGTATAAATGTTGCCTTCATTTCTTAAAAAAATATCATTACTTTTACTAATTTTAAATGTAAATTCACAATACATGTTTAACCTTTATCTTGTCCAGGTATGTCTGTCCAGTGAAAGCATAACATGTGACTGCACTGTTGTCTTTTTTTTTGGATATTTTTTGTCCAAATGATAATTCACTTTCTGGATAGACGAGAATATCACACTTGATCTCCATTCTATAATTTTAACTTAAGATGTAAATTGATTTTCTGTCCTTTTTGGAATACTGAGGTATATTTTTTTATAAATATTTCAGAAACAAACGTCCTCAAGGCTTTAGAAACCAGGCAAGGAGACAAACAAGCCAAAGACTTCCTGAGAAAATATAAACAGAGAATGGGATCGTAGAATAATGCAATAAAACTTGTAAAACTTACATGTACTTAATAGACTGCTAAATTATTGTTATTTTTATTATTAGATATAATACATTGTGCGAATTGAGATATATTTTATATACATAACCAAAAATTGTGTTTTTTTAAATACGTTAAATAACACGAATATAACTTTTTAAGTTTTTTATTAAACAAATTTAACTATGATACAGTATTTTTCATTCCTCGGGTAAAATTACCAAATAACTGTTCTACATGCTAATAGAATTTATAAAGAGAATTTCTTTTGTTATTTCACAGAAATTATACGAAAACAATAATTATTATAAATTAAAATATAGCGGGCTATAAAACACAAAAGATCAGAATAGATATGAATAATGAAGGATATTCATATTAAAATGAAACGTTGTTATTCAAAAATAAAAGTCTAAATATTCTTGCTGGAAAAGATAAACAATATCTAACAAAACTAAGCCAAAATTACCCATTTAGTATTTAAATCCAACACCATCTAATAAAGAAATATGATGCCTAGAGGTAGAATAGAGTGAATCTTAACATTATTTAACCCTGACACAAAAATATTTTATATCTATCTTTGGATGAATGAAAACATTTTTCTACCTTCAATTTCTTTGTGTTTTTTTCCTTTATAACTACTACGTATTTCGTTTCTTAATTTTCTCTTGTAAAAATATGAAATCACAGTTTGAAAAATATTTTCCTTTAATTTATTTAAATATTCTGGATCCAGTAGAAATCTGGAAAGTTTGAGCTTAACTATATATTTACATAGAACTTTTATGCTTAAGTAATATTGCAAAAAAATAATTCGTGAATATGCTGCGTTGTGGACAAAATACAATTAAAATATTTTTAATTTACCAAAAAAAAATGTATGATCTAAAAGTTTTATAATAATAATAGAAGCTTTAGACATTGGATATAGTAAAAAAGCATATATCAAAATCTACTACTATTGGACTTTTTGATCATACCATTTTGTAAATGAAATGTCATTAAAAATGTCACTTTGGAACAACATCCAACAACTTTTATACACATTACTAAAAATGAGACCATTTCTTATGACATCAAGTATCATTTAAAAAAATAAATTAAAAACAATTAAAAATACATAAAACAAAGGGTAAGTGAAAAAAAAATAAAAAAAACAAGTCAAAAATTTGTTTCTTCTACAATTTTTAATTAAATAATACAAAGAAAGATGAAAAAATAATATTTGTTTTCCTTATCTATTTATCCATATAAATATCGAGATAAAAAACATTCACATTTATTAAAGGAGAGAGTTCATGCTAAAAAATTGGATAAATTATAATATAAACAATCACTAGTAGTTTGAATCTGTTTGAATTTGCCCTTTGTTTATGTTTTAACTTAATAAAACGTAAAAATACAAAAAATATATGCGGCAGTAACAAATGTAATAAATTACAGATGAAGGGTTTATTCTAATTTAGATCGACAGTTAAAATGGATAAAAGAAAATAATAATTAGCACAATACAGTATGTCCCCGGATTGTCTTTACAAGAGGATAAACTTTTTTATGGTTGACATTTTGAGAAAAATGTATTCTTCATAAATTTTTTTGTTTGTTCTAGAATGATTAATCCCGTTTCTACTTTTCCAAATTTTCATACCATTCAAAAAAAACATAAAAATACCGATGAATTTAAGTCCTAAAAATCAAATGCGTTTATAGTAATAGCATTTCGATTTCATTCAATTAATAATTACCAAATTATTAATTTTGATCTTTAGAACTTCATCTGTCATGTTAAGAAATGAAAGTAAATAAAAAGCGCCTCTCGTGTTTGTTCGCATATACTAAAAATTTCAATTAATGCCTGTATATATTTCTAATATATTTTTTAAATTTACATTTTTTTAATTGTAAAATAATATATTACATTTAAATGGAATATATTACATAACAATTATGTAGGTATGTCAATTACAGGTTTGTCTTCTAACATTTTTTAAATAAAACAAATTATAAAATTTCAATATATGTATATTTTGTCGTAGGTATGAAAAAAGTAAAATAAAATGGACAAACGCTTATTTACATTGCAATAAAACTGCCACTTTTAGTTTTGAAATTCAAACGCAATATTTCTTTTTCACAAATAAAAATATCCGACAACACTAAAATCACTGAAACTTCCGCGGCTGACAACGAAAACTGAAAAATATAACAGCACTTTTTGTTTTGAACTGCATATCAAAATTACGCTGTATACCATTATGTTTTTGCTTTTGAAATAATATAAAATATAACAGAATTGTCTAATTACTAATTATAACTTATGAATTTTAATATTGAAACTATCTCTGACAATAACTAATAGTAGGAGAGCTAGCAACGTCGGAAAAATAAGTATTTTAAGACGTCTGGCTCTTTGATATATCTTTTACTATGCTCTCTAGAACAGCATGCGGCCCGTCTGGTAAACGTTGCGTTCCCTACTGCGCATTGAAAGAAGATCCTATATTTTTATTAGTCCTTTAAATTCTAGTATTGAATATAAATCGAACATGTCTCCATAGCGCAGTGCGCAGTTTCCGACCACGAACCGATGATTCAGAGTTCGAATCCGGGTCAGGGCAAAGACTTTTTTATTTTATTTTCGTTTATATTCTGACAGTAAAGTATTAATTATGTTAAGGTATAAACGAAAATAAAATAAAAAAGTATTTGCCCTGACCAGGATTCGAACTCTGAATCATCGGTTCGCGGTCGGAAACTCTACGCACTGCGCTATGGAGAAAAGTTCGATTTATATTCAAGACTAGAATTTATAGGACTAAATTAATAAAAAATATAGGATCTTCTTCCGATGCGCAGTAGTGAACGCAACGGGTATCGGCAGCCAGACGAGCCGCATGCTGCTCCAGAGAGCACAGTAAAAGATATATCAAAGAGCCAGACGTCTTAAATTACTTTCTCGAAAACGTTGCTAGCTCTTAAGACTATACCTTTTTGTTATCAAGATGACATTTTAAACGGCAACTGACATATATGTCATAATATTTTAATTTTAAATATGTATGCAATATAATTTAAATTAATATGATGCAACTTTATACTAAGAAAACATTTATACATTCACAAAATACAACAAAACCTAATAATGTAGTTTGAAAACAATGAAAACTGCATTAAAATTAAAAAAGTTAAGCGCGACCCCTTGTGTCAGAATTAGATGATTAAATTTTCGCAATTTTTACACCATTTGATGACCGGTGGCACCTCTAGTGTTTGTTCAAACGGTTAGTCTTTTACTCCCGTTTGTAGCCATTAAAGAAAAGTTCTAAAGGGGGATGTTTTGTGATTTTGATTAAAGTCATATTTTTGCTATTTAAAGTATCACATTTTCTGATAACTATTATCACTTTTTCCGTAGCACTGAACTAAATACATTTTGTGCTTCTTTAACATTTTAAAACAGACTTTAACATTTTGAAATAGAAAAGTTTAAACGGGATTGAAATTTTAGAACAAACAAAAATTTTTATAAAAAATGCATTTTTGTAAAACAATCCGGGGACATACTGTATATTAATTATTATTTTAGCATATTTTTATTGTTATGAATAATCAAACTTAATAGTATTTTAAGTTTAATATAGTTAACGACGAATTTTAAATAATCACTAAAATAGTCTGATATGAACTCAACTACGTCAATGACGTCAAATGTTAATGTTAATTGCCAATATAAATCAGAATAAACCTTGAAGCTATAGTCTGTATAGCCAGAAAATATATGGTTTGATATACAACCGTATGACAGAAAGAAACGGCGTCACGGTGGCCCTAGAAATGAGAATCGATGACAATTTCCGTCGAGATGATGCATATATGTAATTTATTAAAGACATATATAAAATTTTGTCAAAAATTATTATTCAACATGAAAGAAAAAGTTTACTTTTTCATTTAGACAATAATGTTTAACAATTATTTTTTATGTCATTTTTTACCAAATGACATGTAGAGATCGGCCCGACGGAAGTTGTCAATACAAGGCCGTTTATTATTGCCTTTTTTATATGACATTATGACAGTGAAAACTATGGCTCTCACACATTCTGTCGCTATACAGACTATAGCTGTAAATATGAATAATGCTAAAAAATGCTAATTTCCATATCTGGTACGAAAAATTACCTCACAAAATAATAAAGCGCGAAAAAACTAACGTCTATTTGTACATACCACCCGACTAGGTACTACCGGAGTAAGTACCACTACTGTTTCTCGATACGCACGCTCAGAATTTGTTTGGATTTCACCGGCGTCGAGTGAAAGAATCGACCGTCGCTCGACTCTTGCTGATCGAAAATATCATCATCGAAGGGCATAAAACCGCTGTCGATGCTGTGTCGTGACGGCGTCTGATGTGGCTCGGTATAATTCGGCTGTAAGAAACAATTCAGTATTAAATATAATAGGTGCTGTACTAGCACCACAAACAAGAAAAAATATTGTTACAGAAGTCCCTTAATTTCGGGAATATTTCCACATATTGGCAACGCCGCCTTTGCGGTAGTTCAATACTACCACAGATTAGGTATACTATATTTATACAGATAAAAATCTTATCCCGAAATTCGTGGTACAAAAATTGTTTTTTATGACGATGAGCAAACGAGTAAAATTTCCTGTGCGCAAAAATAAACTCGCGTAAAATAACAATAATCAGCGTAATAGAGAGATATCGGTAAACCGAATAGCGTGCATGGACGTTAATAACGCCAGGTGTTTGGTTTGATTTCCTTTACGTGAGGTGGTATTAACTCTCTTCATTTATAGTTATCGGAACGGAAAGAATTCTGTTCGCGTCGCGTCCGCTATTTAAACTTAACCTAACTTTGAATTTAAAACTTTGAAATTGTTTTGTTTACTAGGTATTTTAAAACTAAAGGGCTAAAGTGCTTATTTCCAGTGCTTTAATGTTCAACGTCTGCCAGTAGGTTTAGGGCAACAAATTCTCTTAAAAAGGGCTAAGTCGTTATCTGCTGTAAACCTAAGCCTCTTTATAAGTTCTTTAATATTGGAAGAGGTGGAATCCATATTTTGGGCCATATTTATTTAATTAAAACTAATCCCAGCTACTTAAATATCAAATTACCTAATAAAACTAATGTAATTATTCAAAACAATTCAAACATAACCTAAAATAAAAGATCTCGCCGGCTGGCCCCGTTTGTCAAATACCCGCACATGCCCATTCCCATTTAAGCAATTTTGTAAACGTTATTTAGAAATAGCGCTTGGTGTAATTGATCTGCAAATTACGTCAGGCGGTAACGTTATTAGCGGGTGTTGCGTTAAAAATTGACTCGCGCCTTTACTCGCGCATATCGTAACCATGATAAGGTACGCGTAAATACTGCATGACGCTATTCGGTTTTCCGATATCTTTCTAATAACTGTGCCGGTCAGGCGCTGTGCACAATTTTAGAGGCCATAAGTGGGCGTGCTATGTGCGCAAACTAGTAACCTAACTAGTGCCCGATTCCGAAAATTGGAACCACGAAAAACAATAAAGAAAAAACAAAGTTTATAATCTGTATAATCTGTGATAATACAGTCATTAGCCCCTTTATTATATTTTTATAAATAGCAAGCAGAGCTGCAAGTTCTGTACTTAGTAAGAAAATCGCTAATTGGTAATACAAGAAAATTAATATTAACATTCAAAAAAAGGTACTTAAATTGAATTCTAGTTGTCTTGACTTGAGGGTAATTATATCGATTTAAGTCATTTTACTGACTTAACTTGCAGATCATCATGATTTAAGTCAAAAATATTAAGTCATGAAAGTGACTTAAATAACGTTATATTGATTTAAGTCTTTACAAAAATGACTTGACTTGAAATAAAATGACTTATCAAAATCATTTGAACTTTATGATGAATTTGGCTGAATTGCTGAATTGATCTGACATTTTGACTTAAGAAATGACTTAAGACTTAAGTCTTTTTAGAACTGACTTGTTGCAGCTCTGATAGCAAGATATGACACTTTCGACAATGCTGATAAATGCAGTTACGTAAAAAATTACGAAAATATTAATATCCTTTAAAAAAATATAGAAAATTATCTCTTACCTCCACTTCCATTTCAGTTGAGTTCTGAGATATCGACGGCAGTTGATAATTGCAGACATCAATTTGCTGACAATTCACTATCAAACTGTTTAATACCTTAATTTTCTTGGATGGCGTATGTGATATTTCAGCGCTTCTCTTAGTGACAGACTTCTTGTAAGTTTTCACTTGCATCTATCAAGACAAATAAAGATAATTATATATTCAAATAAAAAAAAATAAAAAATATTAATTAAAACATACCTGTTGGTCAATTTTGTCTGCTTGTCGAGAAGTTGATGGCTGTTCCCAATCATAGGGGTGCGAATGAGTCTTCATTTTAATACTTTTGATAACCACTTCCGTCCTCTTAGAAGATTTTGATTTTTCATGTAACTGAACAAAAATTACAATATAAATATACAAAAAAACTTAAAAGAAAAGAAGAGTTTTCTTTTACCTTTGCATCTTTTCGAATCTGCTTTACTTTCTCCAACTTGTCCCTCAAATTCTCTTCCGAGGGAGCTTGATACTCTTGGAAATGCTCATGGTATCGTTCCTTGCTCAGCAATTTAATTTGGAAGGTATCATTCGAGAGTTCGCCACTCTTCGCACCGCAAATCTCAACGTTCATTGTGTTGGCCAGTTGCAAAGTTGAAATAAAACATCTGAAAGAAATAGATATATATATATATATATATATATATATATATATATATATATATATATATATATATATATATATATATATATATATATATATATATATATATATATATATATATATATATATTTTTTTTATTTTAAGAAAAAATAGTTTAACAAAAAAAACAGCAAAATTACTACATCGGTCATACAGTACATAAATTGTAAGGTATAATCTAAAAAAACCACATCAAGTAGGCTTGGAAATGACGCACAATTTTGATTTTCACACCCACCTCTGACACCTTCTTTTTCGACCGATTGGTAGAGGTGTGTAATTCATGAATGAAAGGAACTAGTTCTTGGATATAAATAATAATATGCGACTGCGACGGATCGGCCAGGGTACCTATTCTTGAGTTTCAGGGCGTAGAACTCCCGAGAGAAGTGGGCGTGGTAATCATAAAACTGGTAGTTTCCGTATTCTTGAAAAATATTGTGGGAGGGAGTAAGAAACTGGGGAGATGCTAGGGAGTTAAAAGTTCTCTTACTATAAAGCGAGGGAGATAGCAAACCTAACCCAACTTACGGTATTTATTTACGATTTTTTTTGTTTACTTAGCTGTTATAGACTTAATATTTATAGATAAAAATGTTTCTTTGAATGTGTGTAAAAAATGTTTTATACAGGGTGGATAGAAATTTAAACATCTAATATTTAAAATTAGTAAATGAGCATTTGTTTGAGAACCAAAATTAAGGTATAAAAAGAGAACATTTATCTTCTCTTAATAAAAAATCAATAAAGTTTTCTTATGTATAAATTACGGTTATAGTGGAATATATGGCTTTGAATATGGATAAAAACTCCAAAAAGTATATATATTTTTTGAACAATTTTAAATTTAGATATTAGTCGTTTTTGTTTGTACCCGCTCTAATGTCCTTTATTTGAAAATAATACGTCTCTGAATAAAGTTTCTGTATTGACTAAAGTGCAAGACAAGCAAAAAAGCCCTTTTGTTTATCTTACGGGAGGCACAAAGACTTGGGACACAAACAAATCAACCTACATTTGCAATCGTTCGAAATTTTACGTTTTAAAGTAAATTATTATCTCTAGACGCGATGTATGCAAGCCGAAGTCGCTGACAATAGAATAAGTAAACCGCTGACTGTCAAGATTTGCTGTAATTCTATTGGTTGTGCAAACAGGCAACGCTTTCCCCGATTCTACTTCCTCCCTTATACTCCTCGGTGCGTTCGGTCCTTCAAGAATACGACATTTCGTTTGCAGGGAGGCCGAGTGAGGGAGCATTCCCCGGGAGCTCCCAGGGACCACTCCCTTCTCTAGCTTTCAAGAATAGGTACCCAGCGCTATTGTAGCCCGATGCTAGGCAGGAGTGGGGAGTGCCAGCCGTATGTTATCGGATTCGGACCTAGAAGGAACTAGAGGAACTAAATAAAAGACTGGTTTACGTACGGATCAGCCAACGCGATCGTAGCCCGATGCTAGGCGGGAGTAGAGAGTATCAGCCGTATGTTACCTGTCCCGGACTGAAAGAATTGAGAGGAACTAATTAAAAGACTAGTTCACGGGAATATATTCAGTCGGCAGATCCGAGAATAATAACAAGGCGGCGACAACGGATTCGGCTTTGTCTATTGCCACAGCCGGCGTAATTACAACAGAAAATTGTCGTGGATACTGTTTTTGATTTTTAGTTTATTCTTTGAAAATTTTATGGCAATATTTTACTTTAAGTCCTTAAAATTAAGAAATATCTTATAAAACGAAGTAGATATTCTGAATTATTAGACAAAAACAGCTTGAAGTGAGGAAAAAAACAATTTTTCGTATTATTTGCTCCAATTGATTTGTGATATAGTTTTTTAAACTCTGATTTGCGTTTATTTTTATTTTTTTTATCTGCAATAAAACTATATGTTATTAACATACGCAATTACACGTCTCGTTATATTTCGTACATTATAAATATTATATAGATCATACTGTGAATAGTTCTGACTGACAACGAAGTCCATTAGCAAACAACGGGGATGTCAATGTTAGTCAGGAACTATTGTGAACTAAAAACCTAGTTCAAGGAACTATTCCTTTGGATGAACTAGAACTAAGGAACTAATTCCTCCCAAAGAACTAGAATTCCCACCTCTATCGATTGGTGCTTACCTCACAACTTCAGCGGACGATTTGCCATCAACCAAGTCGCTGAAAGGCTTGGTTTCGTTCACAGACATACTGTCCATAATTTTCGAACCGTATTCATGTATATCGAAATCGTTCTCATTCAACGATTTCAATTTTGGAGTGATGTGATCCCTCCATTCGCTTACGCGTTCTCTAGATTTTATTCGTTCTTCTTCGCGGGGATTCAATGGTTCCTTCTCCGTTGCAGAACGCTTAAGGATTTCCTCCCTAATAATAAAAATAATGAGAATAATACTCTTTTAAATTTAAGTGAAAAACTTACTGTGAAATGCCGGTATTTTTGCTCATTTCCGCAATGAGATCAGTGTTCGAGAAATTTATGCTGCTAGTCTCGTGGAATCCTGATGAGTCGAGTTCGTTTGTTGAATTTACTGTGAAGATTAATAAGTGTTAAGCTTCGTTCAAAACCTCCAAATTAGTGAAATAAATTAGTCGTTTTAATTAGCTTAGAAGTTTCTTCATTTAATTTCAATATATATTTACAACATCAATAAGAGCTTGAACACACTGACGGCCAGGTCACACCGGCCAGGCCGCTGCTACCTCTAAAACCATTAAATCAAATGATACAACGCACACTAACGACCTGGCCGTTAACTGGTCGTTGCAACCTGTAGACTGCACTGAAATATTATTATTTTATGCCGCTTGTTGCCGGTTCTCTTCCAAATTAATAATTTTTCAGATGAAATCCCTCAAATTCAACGCAAAATATTTTATTTTTTATAAGATATAGTGTTTTAGTGTAGTTTTTGCACGCGTGCAAAAAATCCAAAGAAATAGTATACAGACTGGATCAAAGGGAAACTTAAATCTAGTCCCTTTTTTTTATCAAGGGTCGATTCTCGTAAAAATTCAAAACATTTTTAAATGACATACTCTATTTATGGTTGGTATGATACCTGTTATTATTATTATACCTTCGAGCTTCGATGTTAAAAAATAAAAAAATTATAATTGAAGTTTTTCTACAACCACTAGTTATTTTTTGATCAAATTAGTATTTTAGTTGTATTGTAGTCATGTACCTACAAGGGAAACAACTATATTTTAAATTAAAAACACTAAATCACCACAATACACCAAAACACTTTTACTTTTACACCGGACGCGCGTTTCGCTAACCATGTTAGCATCATCAGCAGATGATTATAAACTAAAGTACAATCTACAAGTTGAGCGTTTATATACTCGCCCAGTGGGCACCGAGTGGGCATGGCAAAATCTAGCCAACCGAGTCAGAACCCACTGAGCGTAACAGTTAGATTTCCGCCACTAGAGTAGTAGGAACAAAGAACTTGAAGGAATTGGACCGTTGTCTCTGTTCATACTATCTTTACATTTATTAATTCTGATGCTTTCATATGCATCTAATTGCCTGTAATTTGAGACTTGTTTAATTAATTTTAAATTATTAAGATCTATACAATGTTCATTATCAACAATATGTTCGGCAACGCAAGATTTATCCGGTCTACCATATCTTATCTGAGCTAAATGTTCTTTAAATCTAGTTAATATTGATCTCCTAGTTTGCCCAACATATTTCTGATTACAATCTTTACAAGAAATTTCATAAATACCCGACCTTTCCAGTGGAGGTGTTTTATCTTTTGGATTACCTAATAATTGTTGTAATTTATTATTAGCACTATACACAAGTTTATAATTGACATTCTTAAAAATTCCTTTTAGACCACGGGATAACTCTCTATCAAACGGTATCGAAAAATATTTAGACGTATCTTTCTCCACTTGAAAAGTCGAATTTTCAGAAATCATTAACCTATACCTACGTTTTCTAATTAATTTATCAACTAGTGAAGGAGAATATCCATTACACTCAGCTACATTCCTAATGTACTCTCTTTCTATTTCATTCATCAGATTACATTTAGCTCTTATTTTTTGTTTTGTTTCTAAGCATAACTACTTACATATATCATTTGATTCAGGTCCAGGTAAACAATAATCGTGATCACTTAAATGGGAGCCTTCGTGATCACTGTGATAATCAATAACAGGTTCTTCGCCGTCATTTTCTTCAAGGTCTGATTCGTAATCAACATGGATAACTTCACCTAAAAAAGAAAAAAGTTTTTTAGGAATTCTTAACCAATAATAAAAGTAAAGGTTTCAAAAAAATAAATATAATTTTACCTTCTCCTTTCTCACTCTGATAATTCATCGAATAAAAATTATCAAACTTCTGTTCTTTGACAGATTCAATCAGGCTCTGTTTCAGTTTCTCGATTTGTTTCTTGCTCAGTTTTCTCCTTTTGATCGGAACTATCTCACTATCCATACTTTCATCATCCAATTTCTGAAAAAATAAAATTTAAAAATAAATCCAATTACTAAAAAATAATACACATACCCTTTTTTGAAGATTACTTATTTTTTCAGGTTCAGCCTTTGCCAAACACGTTTTTGGTTGTTCCTTTTTCTCTTTTTCAATGTAAATCTTCTTCACAACAGATCGTGTCTTCTTCAAAGCTTTCTCTTCAGTGTCCTTTTTGTAAATTATGACAATCATATCATCAGTTTTTTCTACGATAACATCTTCGAAATCGTATTTCTGGTAGGTCCCGTCGTGATCGCTGTTAACAATGTCACTGATCTGTGACAAGACATCAGGTCTACTATTTTCTGTTAGTACATCACTAAGTGCATTGTTAATGTCTATAGAATTATCTTTACCGATACCACTGTCAAACGTCTCATTTGCTTGAAGTTTATCAGCCTCATCACCGTTTGGCAAAGCATTAATTGTATCATTAATGTCTGCAGAATCATTGACAACAATATTATTATTTGTCTCAGTAGTTTTATTTATATCATTATCATTATTTGTTGTCGCCTCAGAATTTTCTACACTTGCATCAACGTTTTCAATTATGGGTTCTAAAAAAGTAAAGTAAAAAATAAGTAAAGACTTAAGTATTAATGATGGGTTGTTATTTAACTATTTGTTATTTTATAACAATTATTTAGAAATAACATAACGCAACCGTTAGTACTTTTAAAAAATAACAGATATAAAATAACGATACACAGAGATCGACCGTTCGTGAAACGAAGTCGGCGCTCTGCACCGCCACGAAATTCGATGCTGCTCGCAGCAATTCCAAAAAACAACTAGTATGGATTATGGATGAAAAACATGTTATTTGGACAACCATCAATACAGGCGGCGAGATACAACGGACAACTGAGTGGGGAATGTGCGACGGCGCGGCGCGGCGAACGTAGCTGCATCGGTCGATGGTCGTGTGGGGCTTGCAACAGCTTAAAAATAATAGGATATAAAAGAAGCAGCTTTTTTGAAACAGTTGCGGGCATAATGCCTGGCGGTCGAGATAACAGGAGTGGGAAAGGAACGCTGCCGCATCGGTCGATTGTCGATGGAGGCTCGCAACGGGTTGGAGAAGCAGTCATTTTAGATTCGTTGTTTTTTAACCTGTTACGAGCATAACAGAGCGGCGGTCAAGATAATCGGAGTGGGAAAGTAACGCTGCTGCATGGGTCGATTGTCGATGGAGGTTCGAAAGAGGTTGGAGAATAACGCATCAGTTGTTTTAGATACATTGTTTTTCAACCTGTTACGAGCATAACGGGCGGAGGTCGAGACATTATGGCGCTGTGTATGTTTCAGTACTTACTTATTAAGTTTCAATATTTAGGTATTTATTTATTCTGAAAATTTTTCAGAATATTTTAAGACTTTTTAAAAATGTATACAGGGTGGCTTGAAAAATCTGGTCATTGATTAATCACGATCCTGCTTAAAGCCCTTCACGTAAAAAGCTGATTTTTGGAAATCGGATTGGCTTTAGAGTGTAGAGGTTCGATAAGAAGGGATTTTTCGAAACTCGAATTCTAAGGGGGTGAAACCACCCTCAAATATTAGAATATTTTTTATTTAAAAACCGGCGAGTTTTTCGGAAAAACTCTTAAACACGTATATTTATTTTATTTTGTTGTTTTACACATTTTAAGATTTTTTAAAAATATATACAGGGTGTTTGGTTTGGTTTGGTTTGGTCATCACTCACATAAAGTCAGGACTCATCATAAAATATGAGTAATCACGATTCTGCTAAAACTGCTTGACGTTTAAAGCTGATTTTTGGCAAACGGATTGACTGTGGGGTTGAGGTTCGATAAGGAGGAGTTTCTCGAATCTCAAATTCCAAGAGGGTGAAAACGCCTCTCAAATATTACAATATTTGTTATTTAAAAAACGGTTAGTCTTTCGAGAAGACGCCTGGACACGCATAATTTATTTTGTTTTTTTATATATTTAGAATTTTTTTAAAAAATCATACAGGGTGTTCCAAAAAGTTGAGTAATTTATTGACCACGATTCTGCTTAAACTGCTCGACGTTTAAAGCTTATTTTTGGCAATTGTGAGAAAATTTTATCCAGTTTGTATGTCAATGGAAATTCTTGCTTTGCTTTATCATCACCGTTACAAATTATTAGTTCGACGCGAGTACACGCTAGTTTAAGTGTAAAATTAATTCAAACTCGTGTGTAGTTGGTTTACTTATGAAGAATATACTACACATTTTGTTATATTGCTATTTTTGACCGCAAATGGTAAAATCATAACTAAGAGCTTCTCGCCCGTCGAGTGAGATGCACCCTGTACACTGATACGCAATTCAGGATCAACGCGGATCGAGGGGCAGGACGTAGGTAGATCGGAATGTATAGGTATAGACCACAGGGGAACTGTTTACATTTTATGCGAATGCCAACATCCTATTGTTATTGTTTGGTATGTTGCCCAGTATTTCTCCGCTTTTGTTTATTTTTAATTTTGTATACGTATACTTTGGGGAAATCTTAAGAAAATAATAATATAATTAGCTTACTACTTTTCAAAATTTCGACATTTATAATTTTATTTAGTACTTATTAAGATTCAGTCAAGATTACAAGAAAAATAAACTTGAAATATTTGTAAATTTCGTCATTTTTCATCAGCCGTTAGGATTAATTTTTAATCTGACAACGCCGCTCTGTTGTTATAGTATTTTCTATAGTAGGGGAATTGGACGCGGTCAACAGTGTCAATACTGTCGATAAACAGCTGATTGGCATGATCAGCTGTTTGCCGTGCTTTTATTTTTCCATATTTCTTAACTATTAATAAACTATTAATGTATAATTGTTTCATTTTATATAAAAGACCAAAATTAGCATTTAAAATGGGTCTACACTGGCAAAATGTGTGAGAATAAAAGAATTTAAACATCGTCATTTCAAAAGTAAGTACTGTTCTGTGGTAATACAACATCTCGTTTTATTTACCTAAAATATTTACCATATTTGTTAAAATTTGTTTATTTGTTTTATAATATAATTTTGTGAATATAATATATTATGTATATTATAAGAAGTAATGTTTATATTTTTGTTACAATATTGTCCGATTTAAAATCGTATATTTGTATTTAATTATGAATACAAATAATTTGTATGTTTACATAAATTATAATTGGTATGTTTACATTTGTAAAATAATGCCTATTTACGTTTTCTATTACTAAGATAAATATTTTATTTCAGATTTCTAAAAGATAGTGAGAGAAAAATTAAATGGTTTTCTCTGTTAGGATTTATTCATAGCATAATATTAAAAAGTCGAGCAAAAGAGAACTCAAGAACAGCTGATTTTTTTATAAGGAATTGAAGAAAATATTTAAAATCTGATGATTTTCACAGCCATTTATGTCGCGATTTGTGGTCTTTCAGTTGTTTCAACATCACCTAGGAAATTAACATTAAGATATCAGGATCCTGCATATAACGAGATAAGAACTATGATCTTGTTAGGATACCTATTCCGTCACAATATGTAAGTACATATATATTTACAGTTTAATTTTTTAATATAAAATATTACTATATACTAATATGTATACACAGATTCAAAGTGTACAGGGTGGTGCCTTTCATACGATATGAAGGTTTCAAGGATTTTTGTTGATGGAAGTTTGTATTGAAAGAACAAATGGAGGGTTTAGAAATCAATCAAGTCATACAAATTCACTTTCATTTTCCTTGGAGCCTTCGCGTCCTATGAGAGGTGTTACCCTATATGTATATAGATTTGTATATATATATATATATATATATATATATATATATATATATATATATATATATATATATATATATAATATATATTATATTAATATTATTTTACTAAAATTACACTATAGTTGTATAAGATATACATACATATACATACCATATATATATACCATATATACATACCATACATACATGTACATACCATCGAAAAAAAAAACAGTGTTAGGGTTGGCTTTGAAAGCAAGATTTATGTAATTTTATAAAATGTAAATTTATGTGGTGAATGTCATTGATCATCAATTTTATTTTGCTCACAATGTATACTCAATGTAGATATTTATATTCACCAACTTCATGTTTATATTTTGTTTTAGGAAGTGAAGATATTCATGGTGTGGAAGTCGTTACTTTAATTACATAGTGCATATGAAATTGGTCCTTTACATCATGTTTAAAATTGACGTAATGCTACTATGCAAAATAGTGAGAGATGTGAACCCTAGGCAGAGCTACAGAATTACTTTTGTTGAGAGACAAATTATGATAGTGATTAGAATCGCATATTCTAGACTTTTACTTAAAAAATGATTTGTTCGGAATGAACTTTTATAGTGTGGAGGAATACCTGCAAATTATAATATGAGGCCTACGTATATGATAATTTTATTATGATCTGTTGTGTTTGTTTTTTTATATTTTGTATTATATATTTGTGTTAGCTTTAAGAATTTATTGACTATTCCTATACAATTGTACATTGTTTTATGGAAATAAATAAATGATTGATTGATTGAATAAGTTAGGAAACCATACGATCGAGAAAAAAACGGCTTCAAAGGCGACTGGGGAATGAAAATATGATAATTTCAGTGAGGTCAAGCCCTAGAAGTCATTTTCTTGGCTCGTACTATTTTTTAAAGGCGCTCTAAGGTTGTAATTTATTTTTACATTAAGTAAATATGATTTTTAAATGGTGTAGTTTAAGATTGACCTCGCTAAATTATCAATCGTCATTCCTCAGCCGCCTTTGACGCCGTTTTTTTTAGACTATTTGCTATAACTATGTTATCTGTTATGCAAATACATATGTCAACAAGTAAAAAGCCAATGAGAAATTAGTTTCTGCTTGGATCCTTACAGTGGCATTTAACAAAATATATATTTTTTCAGGTTACAATATTTTATTTAATATGAACCTGTAAATGTAAGAATATTATACATATATTATATTTTTTACTCAGTCCCTAAATATATTATTAAAATACAACACTTGTGTTTTTTATTAATATCGTGTTATGATTAATACCTAATTAATGTAAAATTATATGGTATGTAAATATCCTTACACTGAGAATTCGTTTGGTCAAAATATTACTCTCTTACTAATATGAATTTGAAAACTACAGAACATTGTTTTTTTTTAGTTTTTGTGCTAATATTTCCACTTAAAATTACCGAATATATTTATGGTATAGGTAGGAAAAGATGAATTTTGTGCTTTTTAATTATACATTATATTAATTATATTATTATTGTAAATAATATCTACTGATATTTAATATAAAAAATAGTTATTCACATGCATCTATTTTTCTTTTGTAATTAATACTATCTAAATAACAAGACATCTTATATAATAGATCCATTAACATTTTAGTTTATCAATTATCAATCACTATACGATATACAATACGTATAATATCTTTTAATTATATCTAACTTTTAATTATTGAATATTTAATAAACAAATTTTTTATAGTGTTTGTTAAATATTTTATAGCATATACTATTATGTATTTATAATAATTTATTAGTTTTATTGCATGAACATATTTTTAAAATTTATTATTAAAAAATATTTTATCTTTGCCTCTAACCACCTACTTCTATATCTCTGGCTTTTACCTTACTATCATCAATGTATCTCAAGGTTAAATTCTGTTTTGATGCTCTTCCGCTGTAAACTCCCCTACCACTTTCCTCTTTACCCCGCTGTCCATAAACTATGGTAGTGGGGGCACTCACCGATAAAACGATGTAGGCACCTCGATTTTGTGAATTTATGAATGACTTGCTCTATCTATTTTTATTCTTAATCTAAGGTATAGACGAGTGGCGGAATTTTGGCTTTTTTTATTTCGCAATTTGTAAACAGCGCTTATTTGTAAACAACCACCGTTTTTAGAGAGGTATTTTAGATAACAATCTATATTTAGGAATGTTTTGACACTCTGGAAATACTACCACGGAGCACGTCATTGTTGCAACTTGCAACTGCGTTAATACGCCTGGCGGTGACCGCCTCCTACTCTTTCAGATATTTAGCAATAAAATAAAGAAACCTGCTATTTTTAAGCTGTTATTTTAAGTTGTTTTTTATAAATAACTATAACAGTTCCAACTGTTATCTAAAAATAACAGTTTTGCCCATCACTATTAAGTATAAGAAGAATACTTCTACAGATAAATCAATAAAAGTTGGTACGCACGTCATCAAAGACTACTATACTTACCATCACCATTTAGTTCTTTAACTAAACCTGACTCTTCATGATCGGATTCGTCATCAGCTTCAAATCCACCATCAAAATATCCGGAATCGGCTCTAAGTTTATCTGATCCAGTAGATTCGGTAGGATTCTTTGGCAAGTCTACAAACAGGTTGCTAAGTTCTGTCTCATGATCTGCTAACAGTTAAAAATCATGGAAATGTTACATGAAGTTAATACAAATGAATTCATTTTTATGAAAGTGATTTTAAAAAAAATACCTGATATATCCATGTCTTCTGGTATATAAGGATCATAGTCTCCTTCGTAACCTTCTTTTAGAGGTTCGACAATCAGGTTTTCAAAAGAAATTTCAGGTAGATTTGTGATACCTTGCTTCCTAAGCTTATCTTGTGCCTGTAAAAAAAATAATACTGATTTTTGTCAAGTATAAAATGAAATAAAGTGCTTTACCTCTCGGGCTATTTGTTCTTTCCTTTCCAAAACTTTATAAAACTTTAACAAATCTTCGGAATTTCTCTGAGGCATGTTCTGAACTTTTCTTTTTTCATTTTCAAAAAAGTCCCTCTGGTATTTTTCGTAGGCCTCTTTGTAGGTTTCATATGGAGCATCGGGATCAATTTTATTCCGAACAAGCCACCTTTTCTTCAAAACATATGCAAATCTCAGCTTTCCCACAGTAAGACCATCATCGGGCAAAAGACATCTATCATTATATTCAAAAAGATGTCGGATGTGCTGGCATGATATTAATCTACCCTCTCTAGTATTGAATTCTTCAGGGTCTTCCAAATCATACACTGGTTGATCTCCACATGGTATAGAATATGGTTTTAAGCGATACTTTTGCTTGCTGTACTCTAATACCAATACCGATGGATGTTTCTTCTTTTCAAGATCACCTAAATATTGTCATAATTAATAATAAAACTTGAATGCAAATAAATTCTATATTGTAAAATGGTTACTTACAAAGTCTTTGTATTTCATGCCATTCATCAAACATATCAAAGTTGAAATTAAATGGGATATCCTCTTCATTTTCACATTCTTCAAAGAGATCTGATCCGATTAAAATATCCTGTCCAGGAAGAGAATTATCATCATCATCAATGCTTGAAGGTTGATTATCTGGTTCAACCAAAGTAATTTTCTTTCTTTTACCTCTGTTCAGCCGCTCTTCTAGTTTCATTAGCTCTAATTTTCTTGCTTCTTTTCTTGCACTAAGCATGTACGAAAATTAAAAATAATATAGATGGTTATTAAAAAAATTATAAATTCTCTTCACTTACTTATCACCGCTATTCTTAACACAAGGTTCATCATATTTGACCATTCTTGTGTGGAAATTGAGAAGATCATCCCAAAGTTTATCAACCCTCTTTGCATACAACTGTCCACAACTTTGCAGTAGGAGTGCATCTTCGGCAAAGTTCATATGAAAAATTCCATTATCCAAGAAAGTTGTCTGTTCATTTACGAGATCATTAAATTTATCCAATACCTGGAAAGACATTTAGAAGTAAATCATCGACATATAAGAAATAGTTATGAAAATATAAAAGTGAAAGTATACTAACTTGTCCCAAACATTCATCTATTTCGGGCTTCTTCAATTTTTGCTCTAACAGCTTTATAAGCTGACCTTTTGGTGAACGGTAATCTAAAATATTAAATTCGTCTTCCTCCTCCATGCTTCCGTTAACTTATAGGGCTCTTTGAAGAAATTATTAGGAAATAAACAAGAACAAACAGTACACTACAGTTCACACCAAAATTCGAATATTTAATTGCTTTATATCGTAACTATTAAACAAATTATGCTCGGCAATCAATTATTGCATAATACCGTCGGACAAAACACTAGTAAACACAATTTATTCGAACAAATAATTAATATTTTTAACATTTCTCTTCGATATGTACTAAAAGCGACGCTCTGGCTTGACACCAATATTTTTACTCATTTTGACTTTCCGTCCGCCAAACATCTCGTAGAAACGTCGTAGAATATATCTTTCTCTTTTTACGGCATGGAAACAGACAGAAAACCACTGCGGTGAAATCTTGCGATCTATCAAGGTCACAGCGCGCAACACGAATAAAAATGACATTAGCAAAGCTCCGGGATCGTGACATGCGCATTGTAGTGGAGCGAAAGCTGCAATAGTTTATTTTATGAATGAAAATGAAGTTTTTATCAACGTACAATCAAATTACGGCCGTAAATATATTAAATATGTATTTGTTGTTATTCGATAAAATGGAAAAAGTGTGACATTATCTAATAAGGTTTATATTCGAGATGTAATCTGAACCAAAATTTTGAATAAGAGCGCAGGCTCCGCCCATTTCTTCCGATTCACCAACCACGACTCAGAAGATGATCAGAAATCAGAAAAGAAAAACAGTCAACAGTCGCGCTAGAGGTCCGAAGGTTTTGTGTCGATGTGCGTTTAATGTGACTGAAACGAATTTAAATAATCTCGAATTTAATCGTGCCAAAGGAAATCTCGAAGATGGGTTGTTATTCCTGTATGAAATTTCTCTTCATTTTCTTAAATGTGATATTTCTGGTGAGTGCCTTTTAAATAACAATTTATAGGGGCCATTTTGGATGCACTGGAAGGCAGTTTAATCAATAACTTGCAAACAAATGCATATTTTTTTGTAAACAAAGGACATTTTTTAATATTAAACGAGTCTTTTTAAATGATCAAATTTTTAATATCAATTGAGTGATTATTATATTTATTTGATTCATTAATGTCCATGCAGAGGCTTTTGAAAACGTATGATCTAAACAAAAATGTTATTAATTAAAAAAGAAATAATGATTTGTACCCACGCCAAATTGAATCATATTGATATTTATAGAAAATGGATATTATCTCATTTCAAAGTTATTATTCGTAAACATGAATGTACCTTGCTTTTACGGTATTTTTTATAAAATTCTCTATTAATAATTACCTAGCTACTAAAAATGAATAAAATCAAATTTTAGCAGTGCCTTAAATTGATAGGATAAACTTAAAAAAATATATGGAGTAAATTGTAAGAGAGATTGTATTCAAATTAAAAATAGAACAAATTGGGGTCTATAACATTTTAATTTAGGTTTATAAAGTTTTATTTTTAGATAAAATTTTCTATTTTCTGATAATAGTATAGATATTTCGAAATATCTGTAAATCACAAGGATTTCCTATTCTTTTAATTATTTACCTAATTTAAACTATTATAGGTATTTTTTATTACTATTTTTATCTTTATTAATCTTTAATGCTTGTTTTTAAGCAATATAATATGTTCTAATAAAAGCTGTTAATAGGTACTCATAAAATTTTATTTATTTATTTAGAATTTGGCTAGTAAGAAATATACAATATACATACTATATATATACAATATTGTACTCTTTCTAATATATATTATTTCTAACATTTCTAATATTATACAAAACACGTCTATACAAAAACAACATAATTATGCAGAAAAGAGTAGAGAATGTCGTCTATCGAAATATTCCTTGCATCTTTGGATGTACTTTATTTAATTATTACCATCTTTCATTTCAAATGTATAGGATAAAGTTTGTCCGAAGAGTCAGGGGAGATTTCTACAGACAATATCCAAAAAACGACTGAAAGTTCTATTTATCCATAAATTAAAATTACAGACTTTGATTACAGACAACGTCTGTCACTGTTAGGTATCCTCTCATTGGACAGCCTTTAGTAATTCTTTTAACTCAATTTGATAAGGAATAAAGGAACTAAAAATAACACATGTATAGTCTGTCCAGCGAGACATTATAATATTATGACAGAAAACATTCAAGAAAAGACAAAAAATTTACTTTTGGACAGGACATATTCCAAAACATATTATACACAGTTTGAAACATTTTTTTAATTATTAATTTGACTAAAAATTTGTTTTTCCAGTTATTTGGAATCGCTGGTGTAGGTGTGATCGTTTGGATTCTCCTGGACCCTTCTGTACCACTTCACTTTACGCAACAACAGAATGATTTCATGATCGCTACTGTAATCTACTTGATAGTAGCCCTCCTGCTTGTACTCCTTTCCGTTTTAGGCATTTACAGTGTCTCGAAGGAAATTCGCTGGGCTCTTGTTGTGGTAAGTAAAGATTTACATATTAGATCCACGAAATATTTAAATATATGCTATTGTTGCAGTCATTCTCCTTGCTGCTGATCGTTATAGTCGTGGAAGTAGCTTCTGGTGTGTGGATCTATATCAATCGTCAGAATTTGGATGAATTTACTCACGCCCACGTAAAACGTACCGTTCAAGAAATATACGATACCGACAAGAATATCAGGGAAATGTTTGATACCATTCAATCTAAGGTAAGTAATAGGTTCTACATTTTATATTATTACTACAAATTTTTCCTTGGGTTTGAAAAGAGCTTTATTTTATTTATTCTTTAATTATTGTTTTAATTTATTACATATTTTGTTTTCCCAACTATTGCATAATATTTTAAAGAAAGAAATGCTGATTTATAGTATATAACCTAAGTATATAACTATTTTTTGTCCATAGATGTATTGTTGTGGCGCTGATAACCCTGCCGACTGGGTGCGCAACAAGGAGATCAACATGGGCATCACCACCAAGCTGACCAAATTCAACATACCGACCAGCTGTTGCCGCGAAAACATTGCCGAATCCACTTGCCTCGCCGCCACTCAGAACATAAAAATAGGCAACGACCTCGATTTCGGAGTGATCTACGAAAAAGGCTGCTACGTCCTGATCAAAGAGAATATCCTGAACAGCCTCACCGTTATTTTCTGCGTTTTCGGAGCCATTTTGGGCGTAAAAGTCTTTGGGCTTTTCATCGGCTTGATTTTGGCCTTTTCAATGAACAGAAACAATCGATACAAGGCTTAAAAGTCGCATTTACAGCGTCATTTAAGGTTTTTATTTTCAATCAGTAACGTTCTCGCTCAATATTAGTTTTTCTGAGTTTTCAGCCTAATAGATTTAATACCCAACCCTGCCTATTAGGCTGGTTTTATACTTTAATATTTTTCGTTTCTGTTTTAAGTCATACTAGTACTAGATTCGCCTTTTCAGTTTTGTTAAAAGCTTTTATTTCAGTCAGTAATTTTTCTTTATTCAATATTATTTCTTTGCAGTTCAGCCTAATAGATTAAATGCCTAACTGGGTTTATTAGGGCGGTTTTATACTTTAAAATGTTTTACTGCCTGTTTTAAATCATACTATTACTAGGTTGGCATTTTTAGTCTCATGAAAAGCCTTTTTTTCAATCAGTAATGTTATCTCGATCAATGTTATCTTTTCACGGTTTAGCTTAATAAATGTAATACCTAACCAGGGTTATTAGGATGGTTTTACACTTTAAAATGTTTTTGTGTCAGTTTTCAGTCATACTAGACTAGATTTGCATTTTTTACATTGATTAAAGGCTTTTTTCATTCAGCAATGTTCTCTCGCTCAATATTCTTCAGTTTTCAGCCTAATAGATTTAATACCGAACCCTGCCTGTTAGGCTGGATTTATACTTTAATATTTTTTGTGTCAGTTTTAAGTCATATATTATAATACTAGATTCTAGATAAGTACTAGATTCGCCTTTTCAAGATAATTTTTACAATCAATAATGTTCTGTCACTCAATATTATATCTTCACAGTTCCGCCTAATAAATTTAATACCTAACTAGGTTTATTAGGATGGTTTTTGTGTCAGTTTTTAAACTATACATACGCATACATTACATATTACTAGATTAGGATTTTCAATTTCATTAAAAGCTTTTTTTCAATCAGTAATGTTCTCTCGCTCAATATTAGTTCTACAAATTTCAGCCTAATAGTAATAATATCTATTTAGCTCTATATAGGCTTTGATACTTTATTTTATATTTTATCGTGCCAGTTTTACTTCGTACAAGTACTTAGAAATCTCAGTTCGCTGATACTCAAAAGTTGCTCTCTATAAATGTACCTTAATTCGTACAAATCAAGCAAATAAGTACCTTTAAATGCTTTTCCTGCATCACCATATTTATTTTTCTAATTAATGAATGCCACTGTTAATGTGTAAATATATTTGTTTAGATAAGTAAAACATTCAATAGATTATCCTCATGCTTAGGTACTTGATGTGTCCAAATTTTTGAATCTTATATATTTAGGGTTTCTCTGTCTATGTGCCATACTGTTATTAGATGCTAATATTATATTTCGTTCTCCTTTAGACTGATTATTTTGTAATAATATAAAAGGAGAAAGGTCGATAGATGGCTTTGTATTGTTATGTAGGTATTTAAACTTCATTTGGTTTATAACAAATGTTCTATTCGCGTGTAGAGTACCATTTTATGCTGTGTTCTCTTAATTTAACGTATTTATTTAAGCATCTCATGCTCGTGTAACGTCTTTTTTCCTACTAATACTAAGTAAGTCTGTCTACTTAAAGCCAAAAAATATGTAGTTTACGCACATACTCATGTCGTTTAACACGTACCTATTTAGTTCTTAGATTAAATATATTAAGGAAAGTGTTGATTATTTAATATATTTTAAGCGTTTTTTAATGTCGTTCGTAGCTTACAAGTTAAAAAGAAATAGAAAATTCTTTGTTGTGCAAATAAAAACCCAATGTAATATGCATGAATGTATATGCCAAACTAAACAATTTACAAAAAAAATATATGTATATTTAACCTTATATTTTATATATAAGTTATATATTTTATGAGATATTTACGTCTATAGATATCACTTAAAAATCATATATGTATTTAAAATACGTTACCGAAATACCGTAGATTCAAAAAGTTTTATAATCAGACGGTTTTTTTTCAGTATATAAAGCACGTCTGTTTAAAAACCTTTTCGATCACATTGTATATCTGTTTAATCTATATTAAACTATATCAGAAACTGCTGTTTTCGTGGTGGTTGTGATACAAATTAAGAAAAAAATACTGGAGAATCAATCAAAAATTGAAAGTTGGGAAGAGATGGTACTATTTTTTTATCGATTCTTTAAAATTTAATAATGTAAGGTGTATAATCTCAATAAAGTTATGTGTCCACGTAGTATATGTGTTATTTTCTGTATTTTGAATGTTATTTATGTAGTAATCAATATACATACGTTTGTTTTTTCGCCAGGTGGTTGAATAAAATCTTGGAGCTTTTTTATCATTCTAATATCTATAAAACGTAATTTGAATATATTCACATCACATCAACCGTTTTTAAATAAACTAGATGATTTTAGTCCACTCTATACAGGGTTGTTCACCGCATACGACACGGAGTATTGTAGCTAAACGATTAGATTTTTACAAATTGTAAGTTTTGGGTTCGTTGAAGGACTATTAGAACTACAATTTAAAAATATTTTTACAAGATACAGTGTGTCCCAAATAAGTAAAAAATATTCTAGTTGTATTTTTTTTAAATGGAACTCCCTGTATATTATTCTATTTTTAGATTCTACGATTAAAATAAAGGTAAATTCTCGTTTTTGAAATATTTTCAATTTTATGAAATTGCAGTAAAAATTTCAAGGCCTCATTTCTCCAAGGGCATCTAAGTTTTTAATACTAAATATTTACTGAAGATTACCTTATACAGAGTGTCCAAAAATTTATATTAAATAATTACTAGCTTTAAACTGCAATAACTTGTTTAATTTAAATGGAACACCCTATATATTTTACGTGAATCAAATGCACAATGTAATTGTCTATCAAATTGTATTATACCATTTTTTACCTATATCTTTAAGTTTTCGCAGAAAATGCATTTTCTTATAATTTAGACCTCATTTATCACTATACCCATGGAATATTGACATTTTAGATTATTTTTAAAGATGTAAGAAATTTTTAAAAAGTACAGATACTAATTGTGTCGATATAGTTCGCTTAATTCATTGAAAAATAAAAAAACTGTTTAAATATTTTTTGTTAAAGAGGACCAATTAATATGATCTCAGTATTCAAACTACATTAATTGACTGTTTACATTGATTTATAATAATTGCTCCAAATACTAAAAACTGAATTTTGTGTGTGTATTACACAGTGTGGTAAAAAGTAACACCTTGTAAATTTGATTTCATTTTTTGACGAATGCTTATTTAAAAAAACAGAGACGTTCATTTTCATAACTTATTATTATATTGATTTCTGAGCCTAATTCACATTTATTTAGAATACTTTATTATTTAAAACAATTTAAAAGTATGTAATTAACTAATTTTTGGTCGGAAATAATGTTGGTATATTTAATATACGTACCTATACTCTTTTACAAAGATTTAAATAGTTTTTTTTTTGTATACCAGTGGGCTTGCAATATTTACCACCTGTACATTTTGTACATATATGTTTGCTTTAAAAAAACCTGAAATGTCAATATTCCATAGGTATAGTGATAAATGAGATCTAAATTATAAGAAAATGCATTTTCTACGAAAACTTGAAGAGATGGGTAAAAAATGGTATAATACAATTTGATAGGACTACATTGTGCATCTGATTCACGTAAAATATATAGGGTGTTCCATTTAAATTAAACAAGTTATTGCCGTTTAAAGCTAGTAAATATATTTAATATAAATTTTTGGACACTCTGTATAAGGTAGTAAAATTTTTATTATTGCAACACAATTAGATAGATTTTCAACACATTTAGAGTTAACAGATATTGATCTGATCAATTAATAATCTTCATTAAATATTTAGTATTAAAAACTTTGACACCCTTGGAGAAATAAAGCCTTAAAATTTTTATTGCAATTTTATAAAATTGAAAATATTTCAAAAACGGTAAGGTTAATCAAATTTACCTTTATTTTAATCGTAGAATCTAAAAATAGAATAATATACAGGGTGTTCCATTTAAAAAAATACAACTAGAATATTTTTTACTTATTTGGGACACTCTGTATCTTGTAAAAATATTTTTAAATTGTAGCTCCAATAGTCCTTCAACGAACCCAAAACTTTGTAAAAATCTAATCGTTTAGCTACATACTCATGTCGTATGTGGTGAACAACCCTGTATATAATTAAATATCTTTACAGAGAAATAGAAACACTTTTTATTTTTAGAAGCCAATCCTTTTACATAATTTATTTTACGCTTTATATAAATATTTTAATGTAAAAAAGTATTTTGCCTCTGTTTCTATCAAATTATTAGATTATCCAATTTAAAATAATAGAAAAGGCGAGAATATTTAAACGGTGACAACGTTGTAAAACCGCTTAGTTCAAATGTTCCGATAGAGATGGTAGGTATTATCGTATTCTAATAGATCGATATGAAATACATTGGACATGTCTATGGAATATACTCTATCAGAGTTGAATATACTTGAATCAGATATGCAAATGAACATTCTTAGCTTTTCTTATCTTAGCCATTTTTTAGGTTAAAATTGTTATTTATAGTTATTTATGGTTAATTAAGTTAATTAAGATTATCAACAAATAAAATAGTGTTGCATTTTTAAAACACGTGTTAAAACAAGAACCTTAGTATAATAATGTCCTTTCAAAAAGAGCGAATAATCCCAATACAAGTAGAAGGTCGCGATGAACCTTCGGAAACCAGTGGAGATAAAAAGGAACAGCAGAATTTGAATAAATCAATGGAAGAATTATCGGTGGATAAGGACTTACCAAAAACCGACTCCGTAAAGAGACCAATTCAGGTTAAATCTGCCACATCAAGTTCCAATGACGAACAAGAATATCTAAAAGAGTTTGATGTATTAGAAAAGCGAGAAGGCAATTCTATTGTTACAGGTTACAGTTTGCCAAACATAAATACCCCGGAACGAATATTTTTAGTTATAGACAAAGCACAAGATGAAAATTATAGTCCGTTTTTAGCCAACAACCAAAAATACACCCCACTCAGTATGCTTAAAAGAGCTGTAAGCATATTTATTAAGCTAAAACTGAATATAAACCCTTTTCATCAGTTTGGTATCATAGCGATGAATGAAAGTAACGCTCAGTTACTGTTATCTCCAACACATGATGCAAGAAAATTGAATGATTGCTTAAATAAAATTAAAGAATGTGAAACCGAGGACATATTTGATTTAAATACAGTATTCAACATAATAATGGAGGATGATATTCCGCAACAATTTACTTCAGAAATTCACCCTTCCCATGTATTAAGGGCGATCATTTTTTATGGAAGATCTTATACGTTACCGAAGGTGACGATGACAGATAAGATTACCGAGTTACTTAATAATCCATTTTTTACTTGCGATGTTTTAATGACACACGAACCTGTTGAAATAAGCAATCATTGTGGTAAAATATTTGACGTCCTGCAAAATTTGGATAAGAAAGGAACAGCATACTTTTTTCCTGTAGGCAGAGACTTGAGAAGAATGCAAAGATGTACTGGAAAGTTGCTAGCGCACCCATTGCAAAGACCTATTCAAAAATTGATTAAAAGCTAAATTTCTTGTTTAATAATAATTTAATATTATATGAACTTAATTATTTATATTGTCAATTTGGATTGTTTTCCTAATTTTAATAAGAATTAAGAATAAACCTAATAAGTTTTTATTAGTTTTTTTTATTAGGTTTGGTTTTTCAGATTTATGAAAATATGCTAAATAGTAAGGTGACCAACTATACTCATTTACTGAGTTTTGTACTCTTTTTTCGCAAACCATACTCTTTTCAAATCCTGTACTCTGAAAGTACTCATTTGTATAATTTTATACTCATTTGTATTGAAAGAAGTTAAAATTTTTTATAAAATTTGCTATGAATATATCGAAGAATGGATAGTGAACTTTAGAGCATTAAATTGTTTGAAATGGACCCTTCTAAATAGTAAAATTGAATGGAAAGAAGTTTCTTCAGCAGTCAAATTTGTAATGAAGGAAGTAAAAGATATTGTTATTAATGACAATTTTCTCTTTGAAGAAATTTGAAGAGTAAATTTATAGTTAAATGAAGAAAAATTGAAGAAATGGAACGATGAGAAAATAGAACTTGACAAAAGATGGGTAGAAATCTTTCAGCATTTTAGAGTAGAACATATAATATTATCCCACATGAAAATTTAAAAGTTTTAATAGAAATTTCCTTATGTTGTCCAAGCACTAATGCTGCTGTTGAAAGGGTATGTTCACTGTGGAATGATTATTGGAGCAGTGAGAAGTACTTTCTGTAAAAATATTATCTGCCGTCTTAACAGTCAAATTTAATATGTAAAATGAAAGTTGTTCAGATGTGGCTACATTATTAGACAAACATCCTCATTTAGCAAAAAAATCCACTCCGAAGAAAAATATGTTTTTAAAAGAAATAAAGTTTTTATCGTTTTTTCTCCTTTTTTTTCACCTATGAAATACTTGCAAAGTGTACTTTTTGAACAAAAAATAGTTGGTCACCTTATAAATAGAAAGTTTTAAGCAATGTTATGATACACATTTTTTTTTAATATAGAGGGTGTTTTAAAAAAGCGTGGCGGTAGCGATCTGCTGCCGCTTGACAGTTCAAAAGTAAATGCCGCTGTTAAAAATTTATCACAAAAATATATGAAAATTCTGACTTAATATCATTTCTAAAAATACTTAAATAATTTAAAAGATTTAATTAAGCCTCTTTTTTAATGACATAATTCTTTTTCTATTTGAGAACAGACATAAATCACAAACCATTTTGGAAATTACTTAAATTTCAAGTCTTAAGTCGGCTTTTGAAACATCTTTCCTATGCAGCTTTCGAAATATAATGACCAGTGGCGGCTCGTGTCATTATTGTAGGGAGGTCAATATCTAAAAATATTGCTTCGATTTTTTTTAAGACGCCACTCTACTATCATCACAGGTAAATAATATTATAACTAAAGTTTATATAGGTAGTGAAAAATAAATTAAAAGTTTATTAAAAATAATATATTTTATTATTAACCATGAAGGTATAAATAATTTTCATACATATTAAAACAAGTTTTCCAAATATGGTAAAAAATCTTATAAAAAGATTCAATAGAGTTAACTTTGAACATAAATTTGTTCATTTGGCTTATCTGGTATAAAAAATGTTTTTGAAATTTATAACTTTCGTCTTACCGTTTATCACTGTTATGCTATATGTACGATGATGTATGAAAACCTTCATAACAACTGTAAATCAGTATTGCCACAATTTTAGTACTTTATCTTTTCCTCCACTTGCTACATTACGGCCATCACTGCTCCAGTCCACTGCATAAACTTCATCAGCATGTCCCGGCAAGTCTCCTTGAAGCTTCATTCCATCCAAATTCCACAATTTTAAAGTTGAGTCGGCACTACCGCTCACCATCAGGCGCGAGTCTGCACTAAAAGCTACCATATAAACCGCCTGAACGTGCCCACGTAAAACTCCTATAAATTTTCCTATAAAATCAAAAAGATATAATCATTGTTACACACAACAATATATAATAATGATACCTGTTTTTGAATCCCATAGTTTAATAGACTTATCGAACGACGCAGACGCAATAATTCTACCATTTGGCGAAAATTTTACATCATTCACTGGTTGAATATGACCGTGTAAGCGGTTAATAGGTTTTTTATCTTTTTCGGGATCCCATAGAAATAATGTAAAATCATCTGACCCCGACACCAACCTAAAAAAAATATAGGCATATACCTTGCAGTTATAGGTAAATATTAACACCTTAAATTACATAAAAATAACAATTTTTACATTTACCTTTCACCAAATAAATCTGTTATTTCTTTATATCTCTTCAAAGCAAATTCCTTTGATTTCCTTTTATCAAGTGTGTAGGTATCTTTATTTGAGTCTTTGACAGGATCAAAAGCACCTATTCTTAAAATATAATCGGTACTTAGAGCGAGTGTATTTACCTAAAAAAAATTGTTAACTACTTAAAAGCAACACCCAGTATAGTGAGAATGCATACCCAATGACCATGCCCTTCTAATGATCTGCATAATACTCCATCCTCTGCCCGCCATACTTTAACTGATCTATCTTGAGAAGCTGAATAAATCAGGCCTGCACCACCCCACTTTACAACTGTGACACCTTTGGTGTGACCTGCTAAAGTTCGAACAGTAGTGCATAGTACTGAATCCCATATTCTTAGATTACAGTCCTTAGATGAACTCACAAAATATCTGAAATTTTAAGAAACAGAATTTTAAGCATTCAGAAAACCCTATAGTAAATATTTGCCTTTTAAAATCAAAGTAAAGGTAAAATGCATATTAATATAATTACCTACTCACCTACATTCCGTGTTTTTATGATATGGTTCCCAACTTAAAGATGTAACCCATTGTTTATGGCCCATCATTGTTTTACCTACTTGACTGCCTGTTTTAGGGTTCCACAATATAATTTTACCATCTTTACAAGCAGATGCTAATTTACTACTATCAGGTGACCAAGCTATACATAAGACCCAGTTTTTATGTCCTTTACATGTATGGTAAGGTGTTTGTGTTTCGATATCCCAGAAACGTACAGTAGTATCACCTAAAAATTATATTAACAATCAAAAAGATAATGTAAAATTGGAAAATAATGATATATATACCTGACCCGCTAGCTAAGTGCTTTCCATCTGGCGAGAAGTTAACTGAAATAACAGCTTCGGAATGGCCTGGCATTGAGGCTGTACATCGTGTAATAGCCCGGACTTTAAAAACGGCTTGCTGCTGATAAATTATATCGACGACGCTCTCAATGTTAATTTCATTTGAAGATATTGATTTTTCCAAGTTCTCCTTTATTTCTTTATCGTTTATAAAAAATGTATATGAAGCATTTTCTGCGTTCTGAATAACAGCATTACATATAAGATTCAGTTGTTTTAAAGTGCATTGCAAAGGTAAATCCATAACATCTCCAGCTATTTGACCAGTCTCTGATTTAAAACGACAGAGAATGCGTTTTGATTCGCAATCTGTTTCAACTTCCATTTTATAGAATTTCACAATTAAACAATAAATTAAATTAAAAAAGCATGTATCAAATGCAGGCTTTCAGAGTTTTTAAAAACTTTGAGAAGTGAGAAGTTGGTTAATTCTTTAATCTTCTTCTTTTTTTAAATGAATATAAAGCCTGAGCTACTAGAAACTGCTGGTGTCTTTAAAAGGTTATCCGCTCACCTTGATCCGCTCACGGCTGACTGTTAGTCAAGGGTCTTTGTAATTATTTTCTTTATTCTGATCTTTCTATTTAATCATGGCTCAATAGTCTGAGACTGGTCTGAGATCAGACCTTCCATATCTCTGGATCAGACCAATAATTATACTCAGGCCTGCTTAAGATGGATTCTATTTCAGCATTGATGCACACCCAACCGAGGATAGTACCCAACTGTCAGGCCGGATAGTCCTAGTAGCTTACGCCTTTAAATTAATTTAAAAAAAGAAGAAAATCTAATTTTATGACAGTTTGACACTGACAGCTTTACTTTACGTTTTTGTTCATTGATGACAGCTGAGAAATTTGTTTTGCTGTTTTCAAGCAATTTTGAAGGTTTTTTAATCTATTAGCAATAGTAGAAGTTATTCATGAAATTATAAAAAGTCTATTTATATGATAATATAAACTGCACTAATTGTTATTTGAAAATAAAGTACAGAAGTTGTTATAAATTTTAGTAAGATGTTGGCTCTTATGAATAGAATATTAGATTGGTTTAGAAGCTTGTTTTGGAAAGAAGAAATGGAATTAACATTGGTAGGATTACAATATTCAGGAAAAACGACTTTTGTTAATGTTATTGCTGTAAGTGCTTTCGTAATATTTGGACTCTAGTCTTAAGAATTCACAAGGTTGCTTATATACTTTGAGAAACCTACATATTTTAATGTATACATTTAGGTTTTTAATTGAACTAAAATCTTAAAACAATTTCTCTTTATGTCGATAAGACTCTAATTACACAATAAATCATTATTTAATAAAAATATGAGATAATTAAAGAAATGATAATAAATAACTTTTAGTCAGGGCAATTCAGTGAAGATATGATACCGACAGTAGGCTTTAATATGAGGAAAATTACCAAAGGAAATGTTACTATTAAAGTTTGGGATATTGGAGGACAACCCAGATTTAGATCTATGTGGGAAAGATACTGTAGAGGTGTTAATGCCATAGTGTCAGTATATCTAACTTTACTTTGTTGTTTATATTTTGTAATGTTTTTTTATTACAGGTATATGGTGGATGCAGCTGATCCTGATAAAATAGAGGCATCGAGAAATGAACTGCACAATCTTTTAGATAAACCTCAACTAGCTGGTATTCCAGTACTCGTTTTGGGAAATAAACGTGATAAGCCTCAAGCTTTAGATGAGAATGGTCTAATTGAAAGAATGTAAGTGGATTTATATCGAACGGCTAATGCATATTTAACGCTTTTATAAAACTTTTCATTTCAGGAATTTATCAGCAATACAAGACCGCGAAATATGTTGTTATTCAATTTCTTGCAAGGAAAAAGATAACATTGACATCACATTACAATGGTTAATAGCCCATTCTAAATCTGGAATGCGTTAAACTAATATGTGTAAGCTTAATTGATCTTATTTTATAATTTAAAGTTAATAAGGTTAGAGTTACTATAAATTTTGTTATAATTCTAAAAAGAAAAACTGAATAGTTTCAGACAAAACTATTTTACATAAAACCTTTTTGGGGGGTAAATTTAATTGAAATTGTTAATTTAATCTGTAAGATATAACAATAAATATAATAACTTTAACCCATTATCATAATTATATATATTTAGACCAGAAACCTAAATTGTATTTAAGCATGGTACATGTTAAAGCAAACTGAGGAAGTTTATTAAATATCTAGTTAATTTTCTTCTTTTTTGCATTACTAGAGTCTAGGATTTATTATTTTATATGTAAGAACACTAGTCTTGATTTCCTTATTCAACTTCTTGATAACATCTAATAAATTGCTTGTGATAGTTTAGTAATTGTTATATATATAAAGTAAAAATTATATTGTGTAAAATTAAGTTTCTGTTTGCTTTTCAATTAAGCTTAGATCAATATAATAAATTCAGGAATAGTGTGAATCTAAATAGAATGAGCAAAGCACTTAAATGTCAATGTTAGTAAGTTTTGTAAAATTATCAATTTTTTTCGTGTTCAATTAGTCAAAATATGTCTCGAATGTAAAAAAGTGCAATTTTTAATTTTTAAATAATTACCTTGAATAAATGGATGCTGTTTCAAAGGATAACAGACTGCTCTAGCTAGTGTTTGAGATTGAAAAGCTAATAAGTTATTTTACCTGAAATTATCGATAACCTTTTAATATACATTTTTTGTATTTATGTGAAAAGTTAGTGTTGATGGATAAATCATGTTTTGAAAGTTATTTCATTGATAAATTTTGTGAATTTTTTTTCCTTATCCAGTATTTGATCTAAAATTTATAAATGATTTACCCCTACACTAATAATTGTATAGTTGTAGTGTTGGAAGAGATTTAAAAAAATCTATTGCACAAGATGAGAATTCAAAGCTGAGCCTTTTATTCTTTTCTATGCACATTTTTTATTAATACTAGACTATATTTTTTTTATTTTGTGTATGTTAAAATATAATTTAAATGTAAAGGACTTTATTATTAATAGAATATACCAAGTATAACTGGTGTAAATATTTATTATATCTAATTGCCAAATATGAACAAGTTGTAATTTCATTTTTAGCATTGGTTTCTTTTTACTGTAAATTTTTTCACAATCCTAAGTAAACTGTAGACAATGTAGTCATTAAAAAAAACAAAGTGATAACTATAATATAAAATATATATACATGCTACATAAAATTTACAGGAAATAAGTTAGTAACATATGCACTAAGAGGCAGTGTTATTATTTTTTCTGAAAATTTGAAGAAACCAATTCACAACTACGTATCGTAGCATTAAGGTCTTTTTCACAATTTGCATATGCCATACCTATACCAAATCCACCACCCATAAGAATGGGCCACCTTTTTCTTTTGAAAAACAGCAGTGAGAACACTGATCCTAGTACTATTCCACCTCCTGAAATTCAAGAAGATAGGTTTAAATTGAAAGCCATTGCTGTTTTTAGTGATGACATAACAGGTCAATAATTATGGAGAAGTTCTTTAGAGCTTACCAAATTTTATGACAGAATCTGATAAACATTTATCCCATTTTCGACCCAGTTCTTCCTCTATATATATTGGGGAGGACATGGTATATGAAGATACTTAATTTTAGGTGTTAATATGGATATTTATCACGAGGAGCAATATATGCTTTAAAATTATTCAGCTGCTTCTACTAAGCACAAATTATTATATTGTTCACTAATATATATTAATGATTAATCCACACTTTGTATATAATAAAAAATCTAAAGGAGTTATATGTAATTTTCTCAATTAAAAAATCATCATCAAAGTCAAATAACATATGACATTCGGTAATTTTCGAAATACCAGTTTAGCCAATACCGGCAAATAAAATTATTCCTTTCATAAAAGATATCAGAGGATATTAATCAGTTTTTTCCAAGTTTTTTTTAAACATTTATATTGTATGATTTAAAAATACAAGAAAAACGTAAATTTAATTTAAAGTAACTAAACTAGAAAAAATCGGGCTAGGGAATTCATAAAGTTTGGCAACGCAATACTAGTGATGTCGAAAAATATCGAAATTTTTCTATAACGCGAAGTATCGAGTACTTTATGGTATAACAATTTCAGATATATGTGTAAAAAAGACACTTAAGTCGGTATACCCTTAAGTCAGTTTATTACGGTAAAAATATTGATAATAAAGTTGTAATTTTTTTGCAAGAAAGCAATTTTTTCTATGTACATTAGAACTACTTATTAGAACTACTTCCACATCACTAAGAAGAGTTGAAATATCTTCAATGGCTGAATGTAAGTTTTGACATTAGTCATGTCAGATCGGGATCACGTGATAAAATGGAACTTCTTAAAAAAGTAATTTTTTGATTCATTCTCGTATATAGACAGAAAAATCAATAATGTCTTTATTCGTGCCCTAGTTTTAAAATAAACATTTAGTAAATTATTTATGGTTAATTCTTAGTACGTGTGTTTTTGTAAAAAATGACATGGGTATTAAAACGGGTTGTGCTTCAGATTTGTTTGATATTTTATTTATTTATTGGTGTATTATCAGAATTAGGTAACCCCTACGAAATTTTAGGGGTTCATAGAAAGGCTTCTCAGCAAGAGATTAAACAAGCTTATAAACAGTTGGCGAAACGATGGTAAGAAGTATTTTTAGTAATAGTTTTTTAGGTACACAAAGGTTTGAACAGTGGGCTTCTTGGTAGAAGTTGTTCAGGTAAATTTATATTCTAATATACAATCTTAAAACTGTAGGCATCCAGACAAATCAAAGTCTTCCAATGCTGAGGACCGTTTCATTGAGATAACTCAGGCTTATGAGCTCTTGTCTGATTCAGACAGAAGATCATTATATGATAAGAAAGGTATAACGGAGGATGACTTTTACAAGAGACCTGAGCGCCAATCATATTTTACACAGCACCCATTTGATGATTTGTTTGTACACAGTGGTGCACATTTCAATTTTCAAGAAAACGATATTATGTTTTTTCACAAGTTATCTATAACTTCAAAGTACTTACTTATATGTCACTTAAAAACAACTTGACTGATATTAATACTTTTTAGACAATATGATAAAAAAATTGTACCAAAAAGTGAGAAGGTTCCTTACGTGTTATTTTTCTACACTGATTGGTGTTTTCCTTGTTTACAATCAGCACCATACTTTAGAAAATTAGTGGATAATTTAGAACCTTTAGGAATTGAGTTTGCTACTGTTCACTCAACACGCGAACCTAATTTAAGTAGACGTTTAAATGTTCATGCGTTACCTTGTTTGGTTTTGCTGTTGGATGGAAATGTTTATGTCTACAAAGAAACTATCACAAATGCTGGAAAAATTATAGGTAAGGATGTATTATAAAACTTTTTCAGTAAATTATAATTTTTTTTATATTTAAGAATTCATCAAGAGTAAATTTCCTTATAAACTTATTCCCAGGCTAAATGAAGAAAATTTAGAAGGATTTTTAGATGGTTGGAAAGATAATAGGGTACGAGGTTTAATATTACCTTCAAAACAAAATATTAAATTACGCTATTTAGTCACTGCCTATCATTTTCGCCCTAGAGTTGCCTTTGGGTAAGTACTTATATTAATAGATATAAAATACTAATAATGAAAGTGAACATTTTAAGCATTGCCGATTCAGATGAAATTCACTCACAATTTCAAGTACCACCTGATATGGATACAATATTATTATTTAATGAAAATATTTCTTCTCCCATGGCCAGCATAACAATAAAAGATATACCTACATCTACCCTTCACAATATTATTTCTTCCAATCAATACCTTGCTTTACCTAGGCTATCTTCTCAGGTATTTAGTAAATTTGTGTTATAAAGTATAGTAGAAATAAATTTATTTTTTTTAGAATGTTTTAGAAGGTTTATGTCCATGTGAGTGGAACAAACCCAGAAAAAGATTATGTGTTGTATTGGTTACTGATGAATCTTCTGTACATGATCCCCACAGACAGTCTTTTATGGAATATGCTTTAAAATTCCCTTATAATGTTGAAAGAGTCAGATTTGCATATATTTATCACAAGAAGCAAGCTTCATTTATAAATGCTCTAACTCCTAGTAAGAGGATTATAATTTTTCATTTAACAGAAAAAACTTATTATTAATTTTAGATGGTGAAGCAATAGAGCCACTTTTGAGGATTGTAGTGTTTTGGCGACGAGATACTTCATTGGTAAGGTATGAGTGGATGCCGGCAAAGTGGGAAATTGAAAGTAAATTAAATAATACAGGAGCCAAGCTGGTTGAAAGCATCGCTCAGTTATTGAAAGCAACAGAGTCTCTGTCATATGAGGCTTATGTTACTGTAAGTACTGTTTATGAATTGTTATGATTGATTGGGTAAAGACAATTTTTTTAGGATCTTTTTGATGAACATGCTATTGGGCTTATTAAAAAGACCTTTACAAGAGTGTCACACTTTTTGGAGTCTGTTTATGAAAGTCTAGGTAAAGAGCAGATATTACCGGCATTTTCCGTGCTAGGAACAATATTATTTATTCTGGCTATTGGCTATTTAATGGCATACCTAGTGTAAGTCCTTTTTTATATAGTACTTATTACATTACATTTCCTAATACCATGCTGGCAACTCTTACTTTTGGATCGGTATTTACATGTGTGGAAGTAAATCGCATAGGGATCTTATTAAGTCAGAGTGAGAGAAATGCGGCGGTGTGCTGTTGCGGCGTTGCCACATTTCTCCGGTACGCCTTTCGCTGTCAAGTAAAGTAAAATCACGATCGCAAACCGCTTATTTTTAAAAGACTTTTTTTCGAAAACATAACTAGATAAAATCATTAGAAACGTTTCTGAGCATCTGAAATGGAATTATAAGAATATCGTTAAGGTGTCCATTTTTTTTATAATGAGAAAACCTACAGTAATCCCGATAATTTAAAAACTCGACTTTTTAACACATAACACGCGATAACTCAAGAACCACTTTAGATATTGAAACTTTTTTTTTATTTTGAAGTTCAGATTTTTTACAAGATGTTTAAATAAAGAAAAATTCGACGCGTGTTTTTTTTTCCATTCAAAAATTTTAATGAACCCATCCATTTACTTTTAGTGCATAGCAATTTTCAGCAATCATGTAACTTTTTTATTTATAAAGATTTTCACATTGTCTGCGAAGAAAATATAGCAGAAATATTAAGAAAGTTTTTGAAAAAAGCTGCAATCAATTGTTTCTAATGGATTTCAAGATATCGATTTTTGAATTTATAGTTCTAATAGCGCGACCACTGTCGAACATCAACTCAACTCCACTTATTTTCTTCCAAAGGTGCAGGTGTTTCTAACTTGCACTAAAAAATTTACAAGCTATAGGGAAAATCACGACTCGTTAATAAATAAATAAATAAAGTATCACGAGACGTAATTAAATCGCGAAGCTGAACACATGATGTACACCCGTCCTTAGAATTTTAGCAGTGCGGTACTGATTGGGTCGACCGCGACGAATCTGCTATATCCCCGTCTCTTAGAAAAATGCACAGTTTCTTGGTTATTTCATACGTTTGGCAACGTTTTTACTGTTCTTTCTTTGTTCAATACATTAGAAACGCATTGTACTCTTCTTACATACGGAAATCCAACAAAAAAGTTATGTGAGAAAATACAACAAAAAAGTTATGCGAGAATAACTATATACATATTTCATTTAATTAGTTAAATGTATTATTATTAGTATTATTGAATTATGTTACTTTTTTGAACAGTGAAAAGGAAGAGGCGGATATTAAAAAACAAAAAGCCAACGCTAATTCAAGAAACAACAACAATAACACAAATAGTTCATATCAACCAGAGTTACGTTTACACGATCTTCGTTCAGAAAAGTACAATGGATTGGTTAGGCTGTTGAAACCAGGCTGTAGAACCGTTTTGCTTATTTTAGACATGCAATCGCGTCAACAGTTGATTCCCCGATTTCATAAAGCCGTGTGGCCGTACAGAAAGTAAGTTATGCAGTAAATTAAAAAAGTTGTAAAAGAGATTTCCCGAAACTTGCAATGGTTGCAAATTAACTCATTATGTTGTTTGTTTAAGGAACAAGACATTAAATTTCGCCTATATGTATATTGAAAGAGGTCTCTCTTGGTACAAAGAGTTGCTGCAGCTCTCACTCTTCGAAGAACGAGAACTGAATATCAATCCGAGAAATTGCGTTGGTACCGTCCTGGTGTTGAATGGCCACAGAAGATATTTTTGCGTTTTTCACGCCAAACATAAGGAGAACGTGCAAAGAGTAAGAACATTTTTCTTTGATTTAAACATATTTTTTACATTAACTGGTAAACTTAATGTAGACGTCTAAATAGAGAAAGAGATATGGGTTATGATTCTGTATTTCCCGCCATTTTGTACGAAACTAGCGCCACACGTGATGGGATGTCAAATTAAAATTTTATTTTATTCTATAATAAATCTGATAAAAAATGAATGATATTAATTAGTCTGACTTATATTTCAAGACGTATTTGTGGAATAAGATTTTTAAAAATTACTCCTATAATAGTTTCTAATCTTAAGTGTAGATTGCACATTAATGTTTTTTTTGAGTAAATAATTGTCATTTTATGATAAAATACTTAAATTAAGTAATACAAAGCTTGGGACCAAATATATTATAAGAATATTAGAGACAAATATTCCTATTTCTTAAGACAAGAAATAGGAGTATCAATCTTGCATAAGTTTATCCTTTTCGTTCAACAGGATTTTCGTGCGCACGCGCCAAATAAAATTATCTGATTCGTCTACTTCATCGCTGAACGCGGTCACCTGCCCGCGCACTATTTTAAACTCTAAATATTAATAGCGTATAGTATATTATTTTTTTATTGGTAATGACATCATTTCAACCTCTTATTTTAGATATTCATCATATCTATCCGTTTCTTGTTTTTGTTTAAATATGTCAGAGATTAAATTTATAAGCAAAGGCGCGAATAGTCAGACGCTAAATTGATTTACGTGGTAGATTGAAACTTAAGCGTAGTTTACACGGGATAGAAAATTGCGATAGAACTTGCTAGAGTAACTTGCGATAGTGTTTACATTTAAGCAAATTTTAAAGCAATTTCTTGCAACAAGTACTTTCTAGGCATATGCTTTGAGCAAGAAATTGCATGCACGCATACACGGTATGGTGTATATTGCACAAGTATATTGTTTAGTAGAAAAATGTCGTGCCGTGAAAAGAGAGCTGCATCCACTGCTCTTGTTGCAATTTTACGCAAACAGTCAAGAAAATCTAGAAAAAGAATATGGGTTAAAGAATGGATTGCCAGAAGGCCTAGTCTTGGAGCTTACGCGATGTTATTAAAAAAAAATAAGAAATAATGACCCAAAGCATTTAAACAATTTTCTGTGAATGTCAGAAGTCAATTTTACTTTTTCTTTTTATAATTTTTTTCCACGCCTGGTTTGCTTGAGTACGAATACTATGTAGCTTCCGCTGAATCTCAGCCTCAGTTGTGTTGAATTTGTCAGCTATAAATTTTATTGCTTTTTGCTTTTTAGCTCTATCTCTGTAAATTTTCGATTTTTTTGTCACAATTCCGGAAATCCTTCAAATAAATTAATCAAAGTGATGGTATCTTCTTTCGACCACATACTCCATTTTAACTTTCGTTATTTAACACGCCTTCGAAAATCACTTGCACCAAAAACTTTAGTAGTTGCGCGTCCAGTGTAAAAGTAAAAGTGTTTTGGTGTATTGTGGTGATTTAGTGTTTTTATTTTGCTACTGTTTACATTATGCAAGTTTGGTAGAAGTGCTCTCAGACATATACTTGCGATAATTTACTTGCCCGTGTAAACTATGCTTTAGAATTACTTCTCACGCTTGCGTAGTTCAAAGCTGTTGAACGAAAAGTACCGACTTCTGTGTATTTTGTATAGCTCCATCTCAAAAATCTGGTTTTAATTTCTATTCCTGACTAGCGATATAGTGTAATATTTATATATGCTTGGGACAGTGGTTTTTTCACCTAATGAAAATATATATTTTCTATGTTTTGGTTGGAATATAAATATGTTTTTTTTAAAATTTAGATGGTTTAAATTCAAATAATACGAGTTTATTTTTAATAAGAATGTTTTTATTATTACTTTTGAAGATTTGATTATTCATCCATTTGTTGTCATATCTTATCTGTTTTGTGCAGCATAAAAGGTATGCAAATTACTGATTATTTATTATCTATAATAATAGCCTAAATCACATATACTTTCGTGGAAACCGCTATGTCATAAGATTTGTATAATTATGTTACGGATTCCGTGGGTCCACTATTTAAACTCACGATAAAATACTTAACGAATTTATTTTCTCACTTTATACACAATTACTAACTTATAACACACAACGACTAACTATTCCTTCACCAAATTGTCCGATTTTCAATTTCCACGCGGTATATTCAAATTTCAAAAACTCTCTCAGTTGTCGATGGCTCCGGCTTATATACTCTATTGACTGCTTCTCGAAATTTCCCCAATTCTCGGAAAGCGTACTTCTTCATACCAGACAATTCTATTGTCTGATTCCCTTACTTCTCGACTTGACTAAAAGATGGCGCCTGAAAAAGTCTTTTAATTTCTGGCGGATACGTTGCGGTTGTGCAGGCAACCAGTAATACATTTTTAATTTCTGGCGGATAGGCCATTTTTCTTGACAATTATGTTTTTTTATATCTCTAACATGACTATTGATAAATAAAAAATATTGATTTATATTATTTTGTACTCCAACTTTGATTGTCTAGCACTTGGCGATCGTACGTATTCTCACTGTGTTATTAACTGACTTACCCGTGTTTGCTTTTTGAATTTGTTGTGTACCTTAAAGTAAAAATGAATACATGTAAGACATGCAATAAATCTTTCACAAAAAAACAAATGGAAGATCATTTGGCATCCAACAGTCATATAAGGTAACTACGTTATTCTTTTATCTTGTTTTTAACTTTTCTTCAAGTTTTCTAATGAAGATATTATTTTGTTCTTTAGATTCTCTTTGAATTACTTATATTTTTTTGTTTTTAGTATGGTTAAAAAAATGTTTTGTCATTTTTGTAGTCTTCAGTTCAGGTCAGCGTCTGAATACAGTATTCACCAAACAGAATCCACGCAACATCAAATCAAAATCATTGAAAGAAAAACAGATCATCCTCTGTTCAAGATCAAGCCTGATAACCTGATTGAAGAAGTAGACCTAGAATTAAAAAAAATAGCTTATTACTTATATTATTCAAGTGCATTTCCATACGAAGTCAGTTTGGAGTATCTAAAATGTTATCACAAGAAAATTAGTTCGAAAAACAACTGGGGGCACATCGAAGTTGGTATTCTTATTAGCTCTCTACTACGCATCTTCAGAGAAGACCTAAAAAATTTAAAAAGCGATGAGGGTGCGAACCGAACTAGGATTGAACTTTTGACTAAAATAGTAGCTTTCACAGTTCTAATTCGAAAAATGTGTTATAATGCAAAGGAGGAAGATTGGATTCGTGAAAATCTTCTGAAGGCTGTAACAACCTGGAACAAACATTTAGATGAGGTTATCCAAGAGAATGGTTTAGTATAGTCTGTATTTCTCGACAAATAGTTTATTTGTCTCGAAAAATAATATAATATCTATATAGTATGTCAAATATTTTATTTCTATTCTAAAAAAATACTTGGACGAATAATATTTATTGTGTAAAAAATGAATTAGCCATTTTAATGTTCCAAACATATCAGAAATTATCAGATACTTAAATATAATTAAGATATACAAGGTTTCTAATTGCGTTTAGATTTATTTATAATTAAGTATATTGAAGTGTATGTACCGGGTGGCCAACTAAGAATGGATGCCGGCTGTATCTCAGAAACTACTTATCATATAACTTTGGGAAAAAAATTCGAATAAGTAAATCGACCAAGAGAAATCGCTGGAAATTATTTTTAAGTTCGAAAAATTTCCGCTAGGGGGCGTTTCTCTGATAACCAATCAGAAAACAGGGGTTTTCTCAAAAATATGCAGGTGAACAGATATTTTAAATATTGCCACCTGCATATTTTTGAGAAAACCCCTGTTTTCTGATTGGTTATCAGAAAAACGACCCCTAGCGGACATTTTTCGAACTTGAAAATAATTTCCAGCGATTTCCCTTGGCCGATTTACTTATTAGAATTTTTTTCCCAACGTTATAGGATAAGTAGTTTCTGAGATACAGCCGGCGTCCATTCTTAGTTGGCCACCCGGTACCTACATTGGTTTCTAAAAATACTAAGGATTATTTTTCAAATAAAAATTTAAAATAAAGTTATACAAAAAATATAAGTTTTATTTCATTTTTTTCTTGATAAGACAGATATACATATACAGCGTCCTCCAATAGTGCGTTCGGCATCTCTGGTTTCTGGGAGCTTTTTGATTTGGAAAATTTTATTTTTATATTAATATGAGTCCTATTTGTAGGGGGCGCCACCTATAAGTGTTTTTACAGTTTTGAAGAGTAATAACTTTTCGTTCGTACCTGTGTAAAACTAGTGAATGAAAAAATATACATTTACGTATTTTTTACGTAAAAAACGTCTCTTGGTAAAAATTGCTACGAGCAACCGTTTTCAAGATATTTAAAATGGAAATAACCATTAAATTTGCAAACTTAAATCAATCATAAATTTTTCTTCGAAAAATTGGTTTGTAAACAGTTTCTGATGTTGAACTTTTGGCATAGAAACATTTTAAATTTATGATTTCAGTCTAATAACTATTTAGCCGACGCGACATGTTTAATTTATGTCAATAATGACAGGTATTGATAATTTCGATTCCAAATACATCGAGAACCATACTTGTAGCGATTTTTACCAAGAGACTTTTTTTAGGTAAAAAACGTTGTAAATGTATATTTTTTTCACTCAGTAGTTTTATACAGGTACAGACGAAAAGTTATTACTCTTCAAACCGGTTAAAAAATATGTAGGTGGCGCCTTCTACAAAGAGAAGTTATATTGACATCAAAATCAAATTTCTTATGGCAAAAAGCTCCCAGACACCAATTTTCATCCAAATATTGACGTTACTTCAGAATTTATTTGGAAAAAATCGAAATAAAAATAAAACTTCTACACTCTGTATCTTCGAAACTAAGCACTTTAGGACATACATTTATACAAACTTTTTGACTTATTTTTATTTGCAGAATATGCTGCCGAAGTTTCCGGAATACAGTTCGGACCACCCGGTTTAATACAAATTGATGCTCTGAATTAAAAAAAAAAAGAACGCTAGGTAGGATACAGTTGCTATGTGTACTGTAATTGGTCTGTACTTAGATATTCGGTATATTATATTACATATGACTCTTTCAAACAGTTAAATATATAATAGACAAAAAATCGCTAGGCGACTTTGTTAAAAATGTACTGTTTAAAGAGCCATATATGTACTAATACTCAAATTTTTTGAGACATCCTGTACAGTTGAATATATTTTCATGTAATACGTTCTAGTAAAGTATCTCTAATCATATAATATCTAAACTGTGTTAGATACGCAATTAAACGAAATCTCTAAGTTCGATATTATACGACCTATACACGGTCGGCAACGTCGGGCTTTAGGTGCCGATTTTCGTGTGTACAAAGAGTACATTCAATGTGTTCAGTACAATAAGATTATTCGTACAATAAGATGTACTGAAGAACAAAGAGTTCAAAGGTTCGTCACGAGAGGCTCTGGTTTTGTACAAATTATCGGGAAATTGAACGATCTCTTTCTTTATCTATGATATAAATAAATAAATATTTTCACAGGTATCGAGGAACGTAACCAAACTGACAGAGAAGGACTGCGAGAGCGGCGCCTTCATAGGTTTTAACTCCGACGAATCCGAGTCTGAATCCGACCCGGTGCTTCTGCAAGGCGATCTGTTGGACGGACTTCCCAACTGGTTGGACAGGCTCTTTGAGGGAAGTACCCAACGGTACCACATCAACTACTGGCCCGAGTTTCCCATCAAGTAACCTTTAAACGCTTCTACACTTAACCAGGATTGAGATTGATTTTTATTTGGTTTGTTGTTTGATGGGCGCCATCTTTTTACTCGTAGTGTCGAGATTTTTTGTCGTGTTCGGTAGACGTTGGATTTTTGTACAAGACCGATTAGACAAAATGTTGTGTTTATTTGAAGATTAAATATACCTTTTTTGTTGAATCGTGAGTTTTATTTAATTATTATACTTTGCAAATATTGGCTCTTTTTAAAACAAATAAATATAATAACAACGCATCAATTATAATATACGAAACAGCCTTAGAATTGGGTTGGAAATGAAGATCTCTTTCTTTATGTAAAATTATGTCATTATGTGAGGAATGTCATCGATCGTCATTTTCAAACCAACTTGACGCCGTTTTTATCATCGTGTGGTATTTTGTCCGCGAGGGAATATTATAAGTGAAAGGTTATTTTAATTTTTAATTCAAAAAACGATTGTACTTTCTGTCATTTTTAGGTGTGTTCTTTGTCAAAATCGTTCTTCTCTCTGGACACACTTGCCGGTACGGTATGATAAAAAAAACGGCGCCCTAGCGGCTTTTGGTATGACAGGCGATGATAATTTCTGCTATGCGATCCATGTATGTATACCACTAAAATTAATATAGTTTCAAAGGCCACTCTGACGCCATTTTAACAATAGTATAGCAAAAGCCGTACGTCCATAGACTTAAAATAAAATATTAAGTCTAAACGTAAGTCACAAGATATGCAACTAACAATCAGTGGCGCATCTAGAGATTGAGTCTGGGAGGGGTAGTGGTAATATTTAAGTAAAGTAACTAGATTTAAAAATTTGTCTTGAGAGGTATTGTGACAGTGGAAAAAATAAACTTGGATTGGCCTGCATTTTTTATTTTGATTAGTGTTATTAATTTCTTTTATGGCAGTTTTATCTTATGCTATGTTTTACCTTACTTATAAATTATTTTCTGGGAGGGGTAATTACCCCCATTACCCTTCCCGTGTATGCGCCCCGGGTCAAGTTTCGTTTAGCCGAAATCTGTTAAAAAAGAAAAAAACAATTTTTTGTCATTTAGGTACCTCAGGGAGTACATTACTGGAAAAAATTTGCAGCGGAAATGCGTCACCATTTTTTGAATGCGGTTTAAAAGTAACGATAAGACATACATGAAAAATTAATGTTATTCCATATGTTAGACGTCTTTGTAAATACGAATACGAAAATGAACTTCCGCGGAAATGCAATGTTGCCATTTTTTTGAATAGAGTTTAGAAGTAACGAAATGAGATATATAAAAAATTAATATTATTTTATAATGTAGACTTATTTTTAAGCACCGATACAAAAATGAAAATCCGCGGAAATGCCTTTTTTCACCACTATGCAGTGATCTTCTTCCCGACCTTTGACACAGATCAATGAATAATATCTATTCTTATCAACTTAATATCGCTATGGTCAATAAATGCGAAAATTTAAAAAAAATTGTCAATAAAGCATAAAATCGACAACTAAACCAAACCAAACCCTAAAAAACAACCAAATCAAACCAAGCCAACTAAACCCACTACAACCAAATCCAATAAAAACAACCAAACCAAACCAAACCGAAAGTATGCAAAAAGTAGAGAATACTATGGAAAACTTCGAAATATTGAAGATTTTCCATTACACCGCCCTGATGATACATTTCCGCGGCAATAGTTATATAGAAAAGTTATAGCAAATTATTAATCAAACAAAAATATGTAGTTTTTATCTTCCTATCACATTTCGGCACTTCTAAACCCGGAAAAATCAATGAAAATTATTGTGATAAAAATATATTTTTGAATAAAAATTAGTTCACATCGTTGAATTAAATGTTTTTACGTCATTCTATAATGAAAAAACTTTAAAAAATACCGTAAAGTTTCAAATTTTAGTTAATAATAGAAAAATTAAAAATTCGAGTTTTCTCAAAAACAAAGAATTTCCACGGCAAAAATCAAATTATGTAGTGCTAGTTTCTTGTATAGAATCATCCTATAAACCGATATTCTATGTAACTGATTTCGGCTAAACGAAACTTGAGCCTGCGCCCCTGCTAACAATACACCGAATCGCATTTTGCTTTAAGGAATTAATGTCAACTGGTAGTCATTTAAGAGAAATAGGTAATCATACACAAACTAAGATAAAGGTACCCAACCTCGCATATAGGTAAAAAATATCCCTATTAAGGGCTCGAACTCACTGACGACCAGGTCGCAACGACCTGGTCGTCGGCTGGCCGGATGTATTGCGTTTGTAGCTGCTGTCAGATGAACGACCAGTTTCAACAGAGTTGTCAAATCTAACGATTTTTTACGTTTTACCCTTGTTTTACCAATTAGAAAATATTGTTTCAGAAATGTTAAAATATCCGAGTTAACTAAAAAGCGAAGTTGCTATTCACAACAAACAAAAAGCATTGTGTACGCGCGACCGACAATAAGGGAGATATTCTGTTTCTTTTTTCTACTGATATGGCGCCCTTATCGACTTTAGAAGTAAACATATTAGGGCCATCGTAAAAAAAGATCGTCAGACACTGGCTCTAAATATAAGCAGGTAGAAAGTTTAGCTTCCAGTAATTTTTATGTTTACAATTAGCGATGGGAACTATCGAATGAATTAGACTATCGAATGGTTACTGAATGAATGATTTCAACTATCGAATGGTTTCATTCGAATAAAATCATTCATTCATACTAAAGCATATGTGACAACCTCGCCGTGCGACTAAATGGTTATCGTTAGCCACGACTATCGAATGCTTTTGATAAATGAAATTTAGTATTCGTTTGGTTTTTGTCTGCGTCAGTGCATTATTAGATCTTCCAAAATTTTATAACTTGCCTCCTAAATACTGTGCTATTTTTGCGTTTATTAAAATATTTAAAATACTAAAGCAGTAGTGTTTTTTTTTAAATTGACGATTGTGTACGTGTGCAGGTGGATAAAATTTTTCCGAAAATTTGTGTGATTTTCCGATCTTTCAATTATTTAATTTTATACGGTATATGGTCTATTTTTTTAATGGAAAATTTTGAGAAGTAACAATTTTTAAGAGAGATGAGGTGAACTTACAATTAATTTTAAAAATACATATGTATTTGTATTTTAGATGTTTTAGTAATATGAATCAGTTGAACTTAATAATCATATCTAAGTAAGGTGGTAATGTGGTAATGTGGTTAAGTAAATTGTTATCAAACTCAAATTTTGGGATGAGAAAATTAAATTGATTGATTAAGGTTTTACACGTGCCAATTTAAAAAAAAAGTTAAAGATACTTGTATTTTGTTTATGCTAATTCTCTTACATGTAGATTTTTGCGAAGAAATATTTCATTTATTTTTTAAAGTAAATGCCAGTAAAAGCAAATATTATTTTTAAATACTAATACAAAGTAATAAAAAGTAATCACATATATAATTTTGATTTCTAATTTTTTATTTATATTTTTCTTCTATTACACTGCATGCTTAGAAAATTAATAAATGTTTATATTTCATGATTTTAAAATTTGTTGTTAATATAACAAATTAGTTCTGTAATTATTATTATTTAATAAACCATCGTTGCCACAACAAATTTAAAAACTATATTATTTTTAAATAGGATCTTATATAAATAATTTTGACTTTTTTGTTGTTTATATTTTGCTACTACTTAAAAAAAATGTTTATATTAAATGATTTTAAATTTTGGTGTTAATAGGTATAACAAATTATTACTGTTATTATTATTTATTAAACCAGTTTTGCTTAAAAACATTAAAAATCATTTTCCTACATCCAAAATGAAAAGTATTACTGCAGTGTAACAACAGAATATTAATAAAAAAAAATGCAAAATATATAGTCATACTATCCCTAACTAACTATAATACCAAAGAATAATATTCTTCGCTAATACCAACTAATACGAATATACAACAGCAACAGCGCCGTTCATAATGTATTTTCTGTGTAAATACTAGCACCTCAATAAAAAAAATGATGTGTCCTTATCTTTATCCGACTCAAAATCAAAGATGCCGGCTTTTTTCATACGATTTTTCATGTCGGGTTTCTAGGAAAGAAACCTACGTCGCGTCGCCGGGCGACAACTAAAATCCAGTTTATATTTTATTATAATCGATCCTGACAAATAAATGAATTTTATAAATGAATGAATTTTATAAATGAATGGTTTTTGCTGCCGAATTAATATATTTCAAGGCAGATGACGCATCTATTCGATATTTTTATTCGAATAGTTTTCGACGAATGTTTTCTTACTAGCTATCGAATTATTCGAATGAATTGCAACTATCGAATGTTTCGATAGTATTCATTCGATAGTTCCCACTACTATTTACAATATAACGAAGAATCTACAACAGTAATTACTTCTATTTTTATGAATGTTTAAGTTACTTTATTATATTTTTTTTCAAAATAATGCACCTAGTAGAAATATAGTCTAATGAACCCTGTTTGAAAAACGTTAAATTAAATATCATTAAAATACAGTTGTCCTCCTTGTACATATGACTACAATACAACTAAAAAAACTAATTTAATAAAAAAAAACAAGTGGTTGTAGAAAAACTTGAAATATTATTTGTTTTATTTTTTAAACATCGAAACTCAAAGGTATAATAACAGGTATCATACCAACTATAATTAGAGCAGGTATGCCATATAAAAATGTTTTGAGTTTTTACTAGAATCGACCCTTGATAAAAAAAGGGATTAGATTTAACTTTGGTTTACCTTTGATCCAGTCTGTATACTATTTCTTTGGATTTTCTGCACGTGTGCAAAAACTACACTAAAACACTATATCTTATAGAAACTAAAATATTGTGCCTTGAATTTGAGGGATTTCATCTGAAAAATTATTAATTTGGAAGAAAACCGGCAACAAGCGGCAGAAAATAATAATATTTCCGTGCAGTCTTCTGGTCGCAACGACCAACGGACGGCTAGGACGTTAGTGTGCGCTATATCATTTATTTAATGGTTTTAGAGGTAGCTGCGGCCTGGCCGGTGCGACCTGGTCGTCAGTGTGTTCGAGCCAAGAAGGTTCGAGCCCTAAAACAGAAAATATAAAAAGTTAATTTGTAAAATGCCATTGAGCTTGAATAGAGACGTTATCTGTCGTTTTTTACTTATAAATA